CGCATATAAAGGAATCATATTGTACGTATTCCTTTGTGACTCTCACTCAACACTGTATTTCTCAGATGAATACATTTTGTTATATATTTTGCTGCTACAGTCTTCCGTTATATGGATACACAATTCACTTAGCCATTCTTGTGATGGCGGACATTTGGGTTGCTTCCAGAATTTTTTTTTTCCTGTTACTAACAGTGCTGTGAACAGTTCTGTATCTGTCTTTTGGTGCACAGATGTGCATTTGTGTTGGGCATGTACCTGACAGTGCAGTAGTTGGCTCATGGGTTATCCATGTTTAACCTCACTGGGTAATGCCACATTGTTTTCCAAAGTGACTATATCAATTTACACCCCCACCAGCAAGAAATATTCCAATTGTTCCACATCTTTGCCCATATTTGCTACTGTCAGACTCTTAAAATTTGCAGTGTACTGAGAAATGGTATGTCACCATAGTTTAATTTGCATTTCCCTTCATTGAAGTTTATTTTTTTTTGAAAATCAATTGACCATAGATGTATGGGTTTATTTCTGGACTCTAACAATTTTATTCCATTGGTAGATATATATACCTAGTGTAATACAGATCTAGTATAGATGTCTATAGATATATATCTTTCTACTAAGATGTGTATTTTTAAAAATATTTTATTGTGTTTTCAGTGAAAGTTTACATAGCAAATTAGGTTTCCATTTAACAATTTCTATACAAATTGTTCACTGAAATCAGTTACATTTTTCACAATGAGACAACATTCTCATTTCCATTCTGGTTTTTTTGTTTCCATTAATCTAGTTTCCCTATCCCCTCTACCCCCCATTACTTTGTCTTTGCTTTAGAGTAAATGTTGACTGGTCTCATATAGATGATTTTTTAAAGGAGCATAGTACTCACGAGTGGTATTATTTTATGAGCCAATCTGTTACTTAGCTGAAAGGTGACCTCTGGTAGTACTTCCATTTCCAAGTTTAAAGGTTATCTCAGGATGATAATCCTGGGGGCTCCTCTAGTCTCAACTGGCCCCGTAAGTCTGGACTTTTTAAGAATTTGATGCTTTGTTTGACATTTTTCTCCCATTCTATCAGGGTCCAGTATTCCTGATCAGAATGGTCAGTAGTGGTAGCCCGGCACCATCTAGTTCTTCTGGTCTCAGGGTAGATGAGGCCATGGTTCATGTGGGCTCTTAGTCCTGTAGACTAGTTTTATCTTTGAGTCTTTGATTTCCCTCTTTTTTGCTCCAGATGAGTAGAAACCAATAGCTGTATCTTTGGTGGCCACTCACAAGCTTTTAAGACCCCAGACACTACTCCCCAAACTAGGATGCTGAACATAAACTTTATGAACTCTATTATGCCAGTTGACCAAGCTGTCCCATGAGACTATGGTCTTAAGCCTTCAAATAAAGTAAACCAATCTCACGAGGTGTTTGGTTGTATCTAAGAAGTGTTTGCAACTGTGCCCCCATGTGCTTTGTATAGATGAACATATTTGCAACACCCACATACCTGTATATACATATGCCTATAGATACACCTACATATGCACACACGTATACACACATATACCTACCTATACACATATATGCATACATACCTACATATGTAACCACATGTAGGTTGTCATTGCAAAATTGTATATACTATAAAACACTTGTTGCTGTCAAGTTGATTCCAGCTCATAGTGACCCTACAAGACAGAGTAGAACTGCCCCCTAGGGTTTCCAAAGAGCAGCTGGTGGACTTAAACTGCCAACCTTTAGTTAGCAGCCATAGCTCTTAACCACTGCACCAAAAACATCCCTTATTCTTATGTACGTCTTAGTGACATAATTTACCTCAGTCAAGCTGTACACATTTAACTCACATTTGGTGTTACCTTTCCCATCACCAAAAGTAACGTATGTCTGTAGAGTAATTCCCCTTCCCTCCATCCCTGGTAACCCCCAATGAACACTACTGTCTGTATGTGTACCTGTTCTTGTCTTCTTATAAAAATCATACTTACCCTTTTGTGATTGAGTTTTTTCACTCAGCATAATGTCCTCCAAATTCATCCACATTATATTGCAAGAACTTCTTACACTGGCTGCATAGTATTCCATTGTTATATATGTACCACATTTTGTTTACCCATTCATCCACTGATAGGCACTTAGGTTGTTCCCATGTTTTTGCTATTGTGGAGGTTAACTGCTTTTATATGTTTATTAACCATTAGATTCTCCTCTTCAATAACTGCGCTTTCTATTCCATTAACATTTGAATCAAAGTTCCTGATGTAATAGGAAGAGGTTAGTTACCAGGCTCCCTACGTGGCCACCTCTGGTAGGTCCAATGGCTCTACTACCTGCCAATCCAATTACATGAATCTTTTAGGCACCTCCATGGTGCCAGGCCTTGTGCTAGAAGCTGTGGGGCATGCAGAGGGGAAGAACCCTCATTATCCAATGATTGAGAAAGACACATAAATGTCACCACAGAGTAATTCTAAGTCTTGCTCTAGAGAAAATACAGAGTACCAGGGGAGTATATGTAGAGAAAATTCCTGCCAGAGGCAGTCCAGAGCAGGTGACCTTTAAGGGAGGCTAGGAGTGGAGTGGATTTGGGGACAGACAGCAGGTGTGGCCAGACGGGACAAGTGAAAGCAGAGGTTAGAGGAGCAGGTAGTGGGCTGTGTCCAGCAGGGGGCTATGGGCCTTGGGAAGACCCCGATTGTCTGGTGCAAGGGAAGTCTGAGCAATGAAGCCCTGATTACAGTGTGGACGTAAATCGGCAGTAGAAAAGACTAGTTAAGAAAAGCACTAAGATGTATCACACAAGTTCTTTATTAACCACGCAGACAGCACTGCTCAATGGCATGTGAACAATGATGAGTCCCAAGAAGTGACTAACTCAGCATCTCCAAAAACTCCCATTTGTCAAAGATGAATAGGAGGCAGTTGGCAAGGCGGCTAAGAGGCTGGGCCTTTGAAGTCACACACCTTGCTCCAGGTTTCAGCAACGTGCTGCATCACCTACTAGCTGTGTAACCCCGAGCAAGTGACTCACACCCGAGTCTGCTTCTCTATAAATAGGTAGGAGCACCTTACTTACAGAGTTGTCTTAAGAATTAAGTCAGCCAATGTGTTGAGCACAGTGCCTGCCCGCACATGCTCTGGTAAACACTCACATGCTAGCTGTTAGTGTAGTATTCTGCAGTTATACTAAGGGTGAAAGATCTTTTGCAAAGATCTTTGGTAAGGATGAACACAAAAGTAAGAGTTTCTGCTTAACAATTGGTGCATAAGAAAATTAAGTGCATGTGATGAATAATCCAAACATGACAAGATTTATGTAAACATTTCTTAAACACCTAGTACGTGCCTGGTACTGCCAGGGGCTGGGGAACTGGGGATGATGGTGAACTTGTTTACACCCTAAGATGCTCAGTCCAAAGAGGAAGGAAGGCTTAACAGATCCCCACAGTCCTGCGCGGGGAAACAGCAGAGATAAGCAGTAATGGAAGTACAAAGTGCTGGGACTCCCACAGAGGAGTTTAGTGGAGTGGGGTGGTATTGCCTCCCTAAAGACCAAGGCTGATGGGTCAAATCAGGACAGGCTAAAAAACAGAATCTGAAGAGCCATGGTCTCTAAAATGTAAACCTCAGCAGATAGCCACCAGGCCTAACGGCATCACTGAAGCTTACTCAGCAGCTGGTTCTTAACTATCTTTGATACAAAACCTTTCCTGAAGTCTATTCAACATTCATGCAAAGAATCCCAAGACATTCAATAAGAAAGGACACAAGACAGATATTAACACCTTTTAATGTTTCACATTGTTTTGTTTTTTCCAAAAAATTTGTAACAAAAGTATGTGGAATTTAGTATGGGTTTCAGTACATTGGGAAGGTACAGAATCTAAACAGAAGTCTATCAAGTAAAATTCTTCTCGTGGGGGCAGAACATTCCATTTACTAAGAAGATAGAATCACAACATGATTAGGCACGATCATCTCGTACTGCCTGTTGTTCTAATTTCAGAGACTGGCAGACTGGGGGAAAAGCAATTAAAAAAAATAATAATAATAAAACTTATCACAGTCAACTGCCTCAAGGCCCCCCCCCCCCCTTCCCGTTTTCTTGGTGTAACCAGATGGGATGAGAGGTGAGGCAGAGCCCTGTGGGACAGGGGCAGGTGCTCCGCTGACCAAGTGGCAGGCAGATGCAGGTGCTCCCTGAGGTGGCCCAGAAATGTACTTTGAAACCACCACTCAGTGCCTCAGCTGAGAATTACAAGTAGTGGGGAGGGAGTGAACAAGGAACTACAAGCAGTGCTGGCGGAAGGCCTGATGTCCACAGCACTGTCAAAACTCAACTTACAGTGAGCCAAGATGGCCTACAAATAATCCTTAGTCAGCACACTTACACAGAAAGACATGACCAAGGACTTAATCCTGCTTTACAATAATACAAGTTGGAATGCTAACAAAGCATAAACATGCCTAGCAAAATCCCACCAGGTACAGTTGTTCTTTCAACACAGAAAGTGAAAACTATTTGGTTTTTAAATGAAAATCCTTCACATCTACCTGTGTTCAAAAATAATAATAATAACTTATGATATCAACAGCTTCCTTTAAAAAGCAATTACCACAAAAGATTAAATCATAGATGTGGGAAGACCTAGTTTCCTAGGAATGGAGTTCTCAAAAAAGGGCAGATACTTAACACACAAGAAAAACAAAGATGTGATATTTTGTGCTCTTAGCTTAAAGCTAAAGCTACCAAAAAAAGAGGCTTAAACAAGTAAAGTGTTTTCCATCGAAAAGACCTCAGTTCACTCAGACTAACACATGACAGACTAAATAAAATACGACACTTACTGGTCTTCCCCTTGCATCTGCCTCCATGATGAATAATGGTGGAAATCATACTGTATGACCAAGCTACATGTTCTCTGCCACTCTCCCTGTGCAATGAGTATTACTTCAAATAGGCTGGCCAAGCAGTCATTTCCCTTCTTAAACAGAACTTAAAAGAATAATAACCAGTGACGGAGCACAATAAAACAGTGACGTAGCAGGCAAAGCTGGCCAGAGTCATTCATAGATTTGCCTGTTTTAGACATATAACTTATTAAAAAAAAACATGGCTAAGCAGGTCAGTAAGGCAGAACGGTACATTCCCATCCTCAGAAGCACATCAAGGAGAGAGATCTTTCATGGGATGAGCCCAGGTAACCCCAAAGGGGCCAAAGCACTCCTTCCACGCAACAAGACACTTCATTTGGGTGCTCTAACCGTGACTTGCTTTTGGACAAAAATCAATTGCTAACATTTTCATCTCTAATATCGTTAACACCATGGAGGAAAATACGATCAACATGAGAAAGCCTGACACCGAGACTAGAGAAAACACGCAAAGGAAAGGTCATGCTGAAGCTGATTTGACAGTTGTTCCATCACTGCCAACCACGCGGGCTTGAGGCCAGTGACTTCATGGATGCATCCCTCAATGCACTGCCAGTATCAGCTCTGAGTCCATTATGATGACCCCAGTGTGATGCTGACTACCTTCTATTCACCACCTCCTACCCAGGAGATCCAAGGAAGCCTTGAATGATAGGCACAGGACACGCACGTACCAAGAGCCCAAGGACCTTCCTGAAAACTCTGCCTTGGATTTGGGCAAAGAAACAAATTAGTGGTGTGGAGTTTGGGTAGCAGCATCCACAATGGGGCTTAACCTCAGCAGCCAGACTGGAGGATGCTTCCCCCAGAGCGTTTGGTCACCGACAGCGTTGTGAACACCTGCAGGGGAGGAGAGAGGACAATTTCAGAAACCCAAGGAAATGAGTGAACGGGGAGTAGTTCAGATAACATATTAGGAATGACTTAGGTGACCACTTAAATGATCAAAACAGAGACGTAATATGACCCAAGATAACCTCTGTATCTCCAGAGGATCAAAAGGGAATAAATTTTAAAACAAAGGAGAAAGAGGAAAAAAAAATTAGATGATAGCTAATGAAGAACTTTGTTAGCATAAGGGTGACAAAAACAAATCAGTTACCTCAGTTGTTTGTCAACTTTCTAAAAGACTCATCATGAAGTTGTTTGGACATAAAAAAAAGCAACATAAAGTACACTATTACAAATACCCACATGTCCACCCAGCTCAAAGAAGTTTACGAACACAGTTAGAACCCCATGTGTGCCCTTCCCTGATCACCTTCTCCTCCTGCCCGCCTCCTAATTGGGGCTAACTGTTCCTATGCATTTCTTCAGGCATTTATTTTGTACATTTTTGAAAACTTTACAAGTAAATGGCAAGATGGTATATGTTCTCTTCTGCCCCTGCTTTCTTAGCTCAATACTGCATTTCTGTTCACCTATGTGGCTACACACAGCTGTAATCCTTTCATTTTTTACCAAATAGTATTCAATTACTATATATTACAGAATACATACATACTATACCCTATATAGTGTAACATATACCTATACAGTATAGTATATTTGGAGTCCCTGGGTGGCGCAAACGGTTAGGCACTTGACTGCTAACCAAAAGGTTACCAAAAGGTAAAGCCTATCCAGAAGCACCACAAAGAATGGCCTGTTGGTCTACTTCCGGAAAGTCAGCTATTGAAAACCCTACTGAGCAACTGGTTTATGGTATATATACTAATACTATAGTATTCGACTATTCAAATAATAAGTATATTATGAATTACATATGTAGGCTTTTGCTGGCCTTCCAGGATATTAACAATTATTTAAAATATGCTACTATTTTAAAAAGCAGATGTCACTTTGAGGACTAAGGTGTGCCTGACCCAAGCCATGGTGTTTTCAATCAACTCATATGCATGTGAAAGCTAGACAATGCATAAGGAAGAACGAAGAAGAATTCATGCCTTTGAATTGTGGTGTTGGCAAAGAACATTGACTGTATCACGGACTGCCAAAAGAACAAACAAATCTGTCTTGGAGGAAGTATGCATAAAATGTTCCTCAGGAGTGAGGATGGTGAGACCTTGTCTTGCTTACTCTGAAGATGTCACCAGGAGGGACCAGCCCCTGCAGAAGGACATCATGCTTGGTAAAGGGTCACCAAAAAAGAGGAAGACCCTCAATGAGATGGTTTGACACAGTGGCTGCAACAGTGGGCTCAAACATACCTACCATTGTGAGGATGGTGCAGGATGAAGCAGCATTTCATTCTGTTATACATTGGGTTGCTATGGGTCGGAACTGACTCGGTGGCATCTAACAACAACTATGGCACTGTAGTATGCTTCCTTGCACACACAGAGCTAGAAGCACAACTACTGGGTTAAAGGGTAGGTGACTGTACCAACCAATACTCTCTCATTTGCAGTAACTAATGAACTCTTCTTCTTTCGCTTCCTTGCAAACATCTGGTGGTTGTGGACCCATATTAGAGCCTTAACAGCTTCAGAAAGCTGCTCCTTGCTACTGCTCCAGACTCCCTGTACATAAATCAACGGCTCTCAAACTTTAGTGAACAAACATCTGCTCACATTGATTAAATGTGTGTAAATAATACTGAACTTAATTTGGGGGTAGGACCCAGGTGATTCTAAGACACATTGTCTATAGACCACATACTGGAATTTCTTGATGGAACACCAGTATAGGTAATGCACTATGGATTCCTGCATGGTAAACTAAACATCAGTCGCTTATCTTTGTAGTTTTATCAAATAGGAAACCTACCGTCAATATTTTAAAAATATCATACTTCTACCTTAAAAAACCAGATTTCCATTCCTGGCCATGATAGAATGATTGGTACCAAACCAGTTCTCTATTCTCTCTTAAACAACCAGAAAACTAGACAAAATATGAAACAACAATTTTAGACACAGGGCAATCAGCAGCGAACTATGATCCCCAAAGGAAGGGAAACAAACAAGGTGAGCTTTCAGCAGGTTTGGCTTTCTACCTGGAGGCATCCACCAGACCCTGGGTATGAGAGAAGGGAGCTATCCAGAGAAAGGGCTCCAGAAATCTACATACAGGCCCCCTAGAGTCTTTGGTTGAATCCTAAGCTGCATGGGCCTAGGAGGCAGGACCCAGTGAGGCCGGGGACAGGACAACTCAGGGGCTGTGCACTGAACAACCACCAGAGCTCATGAAGGGTTAGGAGATCTTCCAGGTCTGACCAGCTTGAGTTGAGAGGCCTCAATGAGCACCGGAGGCATTCAGTAGAGACCCCAGAAAGCCACACTGTAGCAGTGAGACTAGCAGTACTAGCCCTAGAGTAAAGGCTACACTAGAACACTAGACCACCCTAACAAAACCAAAAAACAAGCCTCAAAAGGATAAAACCGAGCCACAAGGAAATTAACTGCCTGCCGCAAGAAAACACAGCATTCTTTAAAGGAAGACAACAAAATCCAGGTTGAAAGAAAAAAACAAAAAACAAAACCCTGTCAACCTAGAATTCCACAGCCAACAAAAACATCCTTCCGCAAAGAAGGCAAAATAAAGATATTTTCAGACAAACAAAAGCTAAGACAATTTGTCCCTAGCAGACCTACACTATAAAAGAATGCTGAATTATCTTTCAACAATTAAAATATGAACCCCAAAGAAAGTATAGACAATTCACATCCAAAAAAATAATTATCAGAGGGGTTCATTCTTGTCAGCAAAGATATGCAAAAATCTTGAAGTAGTTATTGCTTTATACTTACTATAGAAAAAATACATTACACTGAATTTTGAAACATTCTCATTGGCATTCTTGAATTCAATGCTGATGACACTGTAAGCCAGTGTAACTCTTCTGAAAAGCAGTAACATTCTTTTTGTTTAAAAAAACATGTGTGACTGTTGATGAGGACAGGAAGACAATATGCAATAATGAAAATAGCTGTGTTAGGACGATTAGAGGCAATTTAAAATATCATCAAACATGCTTGTTTCAATTTTTAAAAAGGAAGAAAAATAAAGCGCCAGGGAATATATTTAAACAAATTTCAGGTTTGGGAATACAAAGCTTAAGTTCTATTTCTCAGGAATTAATTTAGAACTAGAACTTACATGAGATTTCAGTAAAAAAAAAAACAAAAACAAAAAAACTAAACCCATCAAAAAGGAAAGCAGACAAAAGAGTTATCTATTTTTCTTATAGTGATGACATGCTTGTATTAAAAGACAGGGAAGCCAAACTGCTACTATTAGTCAATCTGAACAAAAAAACTGACGAGTCCATGTTTACAAAGGTTTCATTTGCATACAGCTGCTTTAGAACGTTCATAAAATCACATCGTTTTTTTTAAAGAATGAGCATGGAGGCTGCACCTTCATCCTCTCTATCCCAATACACACAACACTTACAAAAGGTCAAGTTCTGCTGTATGCTTTCACCTGGTGCACTCATACCTGGTCCCAACACCGCCTAGCCTCACAAGACTTCCTTCTCTGTGATTACGTTGGCTATTAAAACACACTAAAAAAATTAAAAAAAAAATTTTGATATTTGGCACTAAAAATTCATTTAAAAACATTTCAAAGGGGTCTCTTTAAATGCTGTTTCCTCTTGAGGTATTATTTTTGCCCTGCAAATAAACTTGATTAGTTGAAATTGCTACTCAAAATTACGTGTAATCAGTTTCCTATTCAATTATTGCTTGCTGCTCAGGTGTCCGGAATGAACTATCACTATGCTGTCTTCACGCTGAATAATACTAATGTATTACTGGTGTTCCAGGCATTAAGACTCCTTTTCCTATCTACACCAAAGGGAGCTTCAGTCAAAACAAGAGCAATTCCAGAAGGAAATCCTTTGGAAAATATTTTGCTCCAAAGAACAAACTTAGGAATTTATCAACTTTTGGGAGTAACTACTTCTCAGGGTCACAGGTTGCTCTCAACTGCCCAAGTTATTTATCAAAATGGTACAAAAGCGTCCATTCAATGATTCATTCCACAAACCACCCACAGCTGGCCCAGGAGTGGTAGCTATTTCTGAACACTTTAAAGCACTGCTCAGGACCAGTTTTTAAATTATTATTATTTTTAATTTACCCAGTGGGCTGACATTTGTGAAATTCAATAAACATTTTATAAAATTTCAAAGGGCATGCAAAACACAACCCTAACTTTTTATTATTCGATCAGGTATTGTCAATTTGCTCTTAATGTTTCTAAGTCTTTCCACTTCTCTTCTATTGTTATCTCATCATGGACCAGTAACAAACAGTCCATGGCACACACTCTGAGCACCTCCCTTCTAGTGTATGGCCGCACAGGAAAATACAGTAGGCCCAGCAGCAAATCCAACTACCATCCAAGTCAGAATCTAGCATTTAGCACAGAGAAGAGTCCTTAAAAATTCTCTAACTGAAAAGCAAGTCAAAACCACAATGAGATATCACTTCGCCCCCACTAAGATGGCTATGATAAAAAAAAAGAAAATACGTGTTGGCAAAGATGTGGAGAAACTGGAACCCTCATATTTACCGCTGGTGGGATTGTAAGATGGTACAGCCTCTGTGGAAAACAATCTGGTGGGTCCTCAAAAAAGTTAAACAGAATTACCAAATGATCCAGCAAATGCACTTCTAGGTGTATACTCAAAAGAAGTGAAAGCAGGAACACAAATAGATACATGTACACCAATGCTCACAGCAGCACTATTCATAATAGCCAGAAGGTGGAAATAGCCTAAATGTTCATCAACAGATGAACGAATAAATAAAATGTAGTATGTACATACAATGGAGTACTAGTCAACCATAAAGAGAAATTAAGTTCTGATACATGCTACAAGATGGATGAACCTTGAAAACATTATGCTAAGTGAAATAAGCTAGTCACAAAAAAGAGGTATTACATGATCCCACTTATATGAAAATATCTAGAATAGGCAAATGTATAGAGACTGAAGTGTATTAGTTATTACAGGGTGGGGGAGTGTCATTGCTTAGGGGGCTTTGATGGCAACGGGTTTGGTTTTTTGGTTTACTCACTAAAAATGAAGTTAACTGGCTCCTTCCCTAGGCAGGTAGTCTTAGTCACTACACCGAATAAAAGATTTATCACGCTATTCTTTACAGGCTGTAACACAGACTCTTCAATTTTCACATTTTTGAAACTTAGTTTTATTTCATTCACAAAAACAGCATTTATGAATGATGCTCTAATCTCTAAACATGTTAATATTTCTTCTTTCCAGCCAGGTACATATTCATGTAGAGAAGAACAACATGCTTCATCATAGAGAAGGCAGACAAAAAAGGAAGCAAAAACACTTTCAGGTCTCAAAACTGATGTTTCACAGACTCAGCAAAGAGCCAGCTGTGCAAGGGCAACCAGGAGCAGAGACCAACCAGTTAACAAGCTGTTCAATGAGATCTGGCATGACTGTGCATTACGCGTGTGCGTGTCTGTGTGTATGTGTGCGTGCGTATGTGTCTGCAAGCACAAAGCACACCCCTGGAAACCACTGAGCTTGGTGACCAGATAACCTCCGGAATGTTTAACTCCATCTACACTGGTATAATGGCAAGATGCCTCCTCCCAACCTTCACCAAGTTCTCCAGTGTAGGCACATTTTTGTTTACCACCCCTCTGTAGCATGACAGTCAACTCTTGGATGATCACTGATAAACGTGAAGAAACACTGACACCCAGAGGCCTAGAATGATCCATTTCCAGTTCTCCTGTCATTTGCTTGATTTTTCAAATCGCATGCTTTGATACCCAAACCTGAAGAGGTAGACAACATCATTTAGCCTCGAGTGGCTCAGGGATAACTAGGATTGAAGCTCTGTCTGGATATGAATGGCATTCACTGATTGTCAGAAAAATAATTTAGGAGACATGATAAGTAAGACTTAAAGACTATCTCTATAAATCATCCTTATCATTTTTTATAGCATGACAGTAATGACCAGTTCACACCAGGGGCAATAAACACTTGAAAGAGGAAAAATTGTTTCTAGAGACAAGGCCTTCTTTGAGCTGTTCTCAGTCATTAGTAACCTGTAAGGAGACGCAGAACTAGCTTGAGTACAGTAGAGAGAATACTAGATTCGGAGTCCTAGGTCTGCCACTTAGATGCTCATTTGTAGTATGCATTTTTAAGCAGAGCTGTGAGAGCATTAGTCACCCACCTCCGCACAGACAGGGTGGATTCCGATGGTGCTGTCCAGCTGCTGTTTGGTCAGTCCACACTTCAGCGCAGCTGCAAAGCCCTGTGTAACTTCTCCAGCATTTGGCCCCAGGACGTGGAAGCCCACAACACGTTCCTAAGATACAGAATAAAGTAATACAACTAAGCTGAAATTTTTTTCTTCATTTCCTCCTGCACAGCCTGGAACTCTTTCCCAGTCTTTTCTAAAAAACTCATTTCAGAAATGGCCAAAGACTTTTACTGAAAGTTACTTAGGCTGAAGACCCCTCTACATGGGCCAGTACAGACAGCTTGGTGTTCAAATCAAGTAGGAAGGCCGAGACAAGTGCTGATGACAAAAATATTAAAAGCAAAAAATGTGCACAGCTTCTTAGGCACCACAATTTCTGGAAAACGTTACTGAAGGGCCGTGATGTCCTCATGACTATTTGGTTGTCTCAGTGCTCCAGATAAACTATTTGTGGCAACTGTAAGAGCGGTCACTCAAATTTAAAAATTTTCACTAAGGTCTCAGTTACAATACTTAAAGATAGAGTATGTGTATGTTCACACTTCTGTCCTGGGTTACAATTTAAAATGTATTTCTTATTGTATGGGCAGCAGTCAGAAAAGTTTGAAAAACAATCGATTTATTCATTCAATTCCTCATTTTGCAGGGAAGGAAACAAACCCTGTGAGGTCAAGGAGCTTGTCCATACATAGGCTTTGGTTACCAGGTATTACATGTAACAGCAGACAATGAAATCTTAAATCAGAACCCAATTAACAGCTCTTCTCATTACAGTTTTCTCATCAGTGCCAGCTGCTTAGGACTCAAACTTGCACTACTCTCGTTCTTTCTTGTTGTTCATTATTTTTAGGTAGTGGATGACCTCATTGTTCTCCCTTTTATAAGCACAAACACATATGGCTCCTTTGGTTCATCCACTGAGCAAGTGTTGACTGCCTGCCTACTATATGTAGGGCTCTGTGCCAGTGAAGGTGAAAAGAGACACAGCAGTGGAGTCATGGTCCCTGGAAGACCTCCCTGGTCTCTGATCATTTCTGTGCACTTGGGGAGACAGGTAAACTACTAAAGAAATACAGTGTGTATTATGTGATGAAAACAGAGCTACAAATTAAGAACAAAATGAAATTATTGGAAGGTATTCGATGGGAATTGCACTTACATTGTCTTTGATGTTACAGACTATTTTTGCATAACATTTGTTGTTATCTCTGGATGGAATTGTCCACTCCAATGGCCAGAAGTAACTATGGTAAACCTAAGGTGATATAAGCACAATTTAGACCCATTATCTTAAGCAGTGTATTTATTAAACACCAGATGTGGTGCAAAGACAGTGGAGGCTTTTAATAATTAGACTTTCATTAAATAATAAAATCCATGGATTAAACAGGAATTTGGTCAGATAGTAAATGACTTTAAACTCCTCATTTTGAGGCGCTTTCGCTACAAGCTCATCCCTTAATCGTATCTCAACCTCAGAAGAGAACACCTCAAGTAATAATAGCAACAACAAAGACCAAGCAAGTAAGAAGCCACATAATTACTTGCTGTCCTGCACTAAAAACAAATACTGTCTTATTATCTTATACCCGCAAAAACAAAAAAAAACCACTGTCATCAAGTCAGTTCCGACTCATAGCGACCCTGTAAGACAGAACAGAACTGCCCTATAAGGGTTCCAAGGCTGTCATCTTTATGGAAGCAGACTGCACATCTTTCTCCCATGGAGTGGCTCATGGGTTTGAACTGCTGACCTTTAGGTTGGCAGACGAGCGCTTTAATCACTGTGCCACCAGGCTCCTTTGTTACCTTATAGAAATGACAATTTGGGCAAGAAACAAGCGAGGTGCCAGGAACAATTAAGGAATTATCTAGTTCTCTTCCTTAATGCTTCCCAAAGACATTTCCTCCTTTACCATTATTCACTCTAAGCATTAATACTTGTATTAAGAAAAGGACGAAGGGAATGAGAAAAGGAGAGAAGAAAGAAAGGAAACAAAGATAGGAAAGAAGGAAAAGGGAGGAGGGAAGGAAGGCAGGGCATCCTTACTGATGTTTCATAAAGTCCTGTATGACAAAAGGGTAATTTTTTTTTCCCCTCTGCCAACTCACACTGCTAGCCTCAGTTCAAAACACATATAGTTAGCTATCTTTTAAAAACACATTGATATGACATTATAATAAGTATTCATCTATGTTGTAATACAATGTGAATTTTTTTAAAAACATTGGTTACAAAACTGAATGCACATATCACAACAATAATATAAGAAAAATGATAAAGGAATCACCCGAAATTGCTACCAACTGCTGTGTTATAGACGTAGGTCTATTAGTACTTGTTTCCTATTCACTTACGTTTTTCAAAATTTCTTCAACTCATCTGTATACTTTTATAGTGAAAAAAGCATATTGTAATAAAATAAAAGCCACAGATTGTCTATCAAGAACTACAGCAATAAAAAAGAATTCTTATCTACCTCCCAAAAAAGAGAACTATAGCAATATATATTAAGAACCTTAAAATTTAAATACCTTTTGACAGGGAATCTATTCTCAGAAAAGAACCAGAGAAATAGACAATGAATTACAAAGATGTTCACTATTCTTTTTATAATAGTGAGAAAATGGAAAAAAATCTAATAAAAGAATGGTTGAAAAAATATAGTACAGTAGCCCTAAAAAGAATTACTACAGTTATTTATATTTTTTAATGGTGATTTTAGAGAATTGAAGGGCAAGGGAAAATGCTCATGACATAAAATTAGTTATGAAGTAGGATAGAAAATTGTGTGTAACTTAATCACAATTTTGAAAAGTTATGTATGTACCTATACAAAATGATATATATACACATATATGTGTATACATACAATATACGCTTATCAATATTTAGAAAAAACAACTGGAAAGGAAATATGCCAAAATGTTATCGGCAGTTCTCTTCATAAATTCATTAAAATTTCCTTCTTTATATTTTCCTAATTTTTCAAACTTCCTAAAATGAGCATGTACTACTAGTTTTATAATCAGAAAAAATGGCAATAATGTGTTAAAAGTAACAAGATATTACATACTACTACTAATGAATAAAGAAAAAGATTATAAGGTATTTAAAAATAAGCTTTTATATCATAGAATTGCCTCTGATTTACAAATCTGGTCTTTTAAATGGTCTTACTGGAAATTTTTTCCAAATGATTTAAAATAGTAGTCCCTTTGCATATTTTTGTGTATATATAAAATAGTGTATTTCACATGCATCTTCTTTGACCACAGAAAAGGTAAATGGCAAAATTGTTATAAATTGGATGTTAATACTAGAAAAGACCTAGTATTACTAATGGTCAGGTAAATAGAAATGTAGTTAATTTTTTATTTTCTTCTTTGCATTTGCCTGTTTTTTTCACATTTCCAACAACACTGTCTTAGTAATAAAAAGAAACCATTATATGTGGTTTTAAAAAGTAGAAGGAAATATTAACTGGGTCAACAAAAAACTGAAATACGTGAGTCAAATAAGAGGGTTTTGCAGGGTGATTTATTTTTGCCTGTCAGGTGATAACATTGCTGACCTTCTTGTGTGTGTATGTGTGTGCTATAATTTTATCCAGTGTGGCCTCATGCAGGGGCCGGCGGCTCAGATGGCAACTGCTGTCATTGCTGCTGTGGATAGACTCCCTTTTCGTATTTTTAAAAACTCACTCCCAACAATGCTTTTAGGATCTCTATCCTCTGTCTCACAGGACTAGAAGCTTTTGTGAGTATTTACTTCTTGTAATTGGTTTTTATATTAGAAAAGCAAGATGTTGACAGTTTTTTCACCCTTTCTCCCCATTGTCGGTAATTGACGTGCCAGGTGAAAAGTAGCAGATTTGTCCACCGAGGAGAAAAAATCAGAAAATGGAAGGAAGATTAAAGCGCTATATCGTTAACTTCTCTAAAGTGGTAACTATAATGTAGTTATAAAAGGAAGAAGGAAATACTGAAGTATTTAGGGGTAAAGGGGCATTCAGTGGTTAATGGTTCATGGTTAAATGGTTCAGGGCAGAAAACAAACATACACACGCACACACAGAGACATGTATATAGAGATTGAAAAAGAGAATATGAAAAGTATAATGCAAATGGCAAATGTTAACAATGTATGAATCTGGAAAATTATATATGGAAGTACTCTGAACTACTTTTCAGCAAGCTTGAAATCACAAAATTTGAAGAAAAATAAGTAGTACCTTAGCCTAAGAGTAAAGAGAAAAAAATATAACTTACCTCAATATTGTCTTCCCCAAATTTCACCACAGCTTTCTCTTCAGAAAGGCCACAAGCACCATATTCCAAAGGAGTGAATACAGTTGTTGGAACATTTTCGTAGTCACACTGTTTCAAAATAGAAGGAAAGAGTTATGACGGGCCAAATTATAACTCAAAAAACTCAAAACAAGGGTATATTTCAAAAAGGTTCAAAACTAGGAAGGGAAAGCAGACTCATAAATCTCTACTGAAAGCATCTGAAGTCACAATGCCAGAAAGGAACCTACACTACACTGATAACCATTAGCTTCTGTGATAAACTTATAGAATTTAAGGTTAAGACTGATTATGAATAAATGATTCATGTGGCTTCTTCATCCATCGACCAGTTGCTGTACCAGTAATGACATACTTTTGCTTCCTTCAATGCTGGTAAGGGTACTCATATGGTCTCATATCAGTGACAGAAATTAATAAACTTCTCTGAAAAAATCAATTAGGTAATACATATTAAGATTCATAAAAGCATTTTATACTTTCTGGCCCAATAATCCCACTTTTAGAAATCTTTAATGAGAAAAATAACTTAATATATGGAAAAAGTTACAGGTATTAATTGAGCATTACCACAGTACTCGTCAATAGTGGCAATATAAGATTGTAATATATAACATTACATACGTTGTATAATACGTTATAATATGCTATCATAATATATTGTAGTATCTATGTTGTCGTTAGCTGCCGTGGAGTCAATTCCAACTCACAGCAACACTATTTGACAGAATAGTACTGCCTCACAGGGTTTCCTAGGCTGTAGTCTTTATGGGAACAAATTGCCAGGTCTTTTCTCCTGTGGAGCTGCTGGTGGGTTCAAACCACCAACCTTTCAGTTAACAGTTGAGCACTTAACCATTGCGCCATTATTAGGGTTCCTTATCTTAGATATATATAATATTATGCAGCCATTAAAATATGAAGATCAAAGAAACAAAAAAACTTAATGCTTGTAACAGTAGTTTTCAAAGCAAGTTTTATGATGTTAGTAAGTGTAGGTGACAAAAAGGGTCCTAGAGTCAAACAATCAAATAAAATGCTGGATTGAGCAAATAAAATGGTTTCTCTACTATCAGATTTCTCAGAGCCTTTAATACACTGCAGTGAATTGTGAAAAATGTGTTATGTAAATGCCAAATCTATCTGTAAATGCTATTTGGTAAAAACCTAACAGTCACATTTGTATAGAGAGATGCGCCTAAGTAACATTCTGCATTTAAAATATGAGAGATGCAATTCTCACTCTTTAAACAGTAGGGTGAAATGTTTAAAATGTGTCTCCCTATAGAAACAATAAACATCCTTTTCCTCTAAAAAAACACAAACCCTAGGAATTCTCTGATTCAAAAGTAAAGGCAGATATCCACTTACAGCCATAATTCATAATACCAAGGACCAGATTACTCTCCTGCATTAAACAACTAGAAAACCAGAGAAAATATGAAACAATTAGACATTGGACAAACGGCAGTGTAGGACTGTGATCCCTGAGAAAGTGGAAACAAACAAGGTGAGCCCAAGGACAGCTCTAGTTTACTGCCTGGAGATGGTTTCAAGGCCTCAGTGCAGGGAGGGGGAAACCCAAACAGAGTCCAGCAATCTTTCTGAGTTATGAAGACAAGAGACTGCAGTTTGAGTAAGTTAAGGTGGCTTGAAGTTGCAGGAAGAATACCAAAGAGGATGGAGATGAACAAAGAGAGCTCTATTTAAAAAAAAAAAACCCAAGCCCGTTGCTTTTCAGTCCATTACGACTCATAGAAAAGCTATAGGACAGAGTAGAACTGCCCCACAGAGATTTCAAGGAGCAGCTAGTGGATTCAAACTGCTGATCTGTTGGTTTGCAGCCCAGCCACCATTGTGCCACCAAGGCTCCTTAAGATCTACAGAGGGGTTCTTTCAAGATTATGGCTGAGTACTGACTGTATATGCTTGAGAAGAAACTACTCATAAGTGAGGAAAGAACCACTGGAGAAAACAGTAGGACCCCCAAAATGACCAGAGCTCACAGAGGACTGAAAACAGTTCCTGTTTCCACAAGCCAGTAGAAAGAATTTGTAATACAAGAGGAAAGGGGTAGTCCTCAGAAGGGCATCTATTTAATAGTGGGACTAAATCAGTCCTAGAAGCAAAGTTGCTGTTAACTGACCTTAAAAAGCTTAAAAGCAAGTTATAAAAATATAAAAAACTGATCCCAAGTAACTTAACAGCCTGACAGAATTATGTCCAACACTATTTAAAGGAATACAACAAAATCCAACATCTAACAATGCCCGCATCCATTCAAAAGCAACAAGACATGCAAACGGGGCAAGAACATATCAGTCAATAGAAACAGACACAGAAATAGAGATGACAGAATTAGCAGACAAGGACATCTAAAGAGCTGTTATAAATATGCCTTGTGTATAAATATGATCTGTGTGTTCAAGAAGGTAGAGAAAAACATGAACTTGCTAAGGAGAGAAATGGAAAATATATTTTAAAAAAATTAAACCTGTAGAGATGATAAAAACAATATGTGAATGCAAACTCACTGAACAGGATTAACAACAGAATAGACACTGCAAAAGATCAGATCAGTGAACTTGAAGATGTAACAATCAGCTACAAAAAACGAAGCACAGAAGAGTGAAAAATAAAAAACCATGAACACAGCATCAGAGACGAGGGAGATAGTATCAAGCAATCCAACAGTCATATAATTGGAGGCCCAGGGAGGGTAAGAAGGGGGAAGACAGAAAAAACTGAATGGCTGAAGATATTCCAAATTTGATGGAAACTATAAACTGATAAATTCAAGAATCTCAACAAACCACAAGATAAATAAATAGAAACACACCGAGGTACACAATAATCAAACTGCTAAAAAAATCAGTGATAAAAAGAAACTCTTAAGAGCAGCCAAGGGACAGGAAATGCAAAAGAAAACTACAACCATTTACCACAGCATATCCACTAGAATGACTGCAGAAAAAGAGACTGACTACAGCAACTATTGACAAGGATGTGCAACAATTGGAACTTTCATACACTGCAGGTAGGGGTGCAAAATAATACCACTTTGGGAAAAATCTGGCAGTTTAAGTTAAACATGCCCGTAGCATATGACCCAGGAATTCCACGCTTATGTATTTAACCAAGAGAAGTTAAAATATGTCCATAAAGTCTGGGGTCTAATAAGCCTATGAGGGGCCATCTAAGATACTTCACTGGTCTCATCCCTTAGGAAGCAAGGGAGAATGAAGAAAACTAAAGACACAAGGGAAAGATTAGTCCAAAGGACTAACAGATCACAACTACCACGGCCTCTACTAGACTGAGTCCAGTACAACTAGATGGTGCCTGGCTACCACCACTGACCGCTCTGACAGAGATCACAATAAAGGGTCCTGGACAGAGCTAGAAAAAAATGTAGAACAAAATTCTAACTCACATACACCAAAAAAAAAACCAACCAGACTTACTGGCCTGACAGAGACTGGAGAAACCCCAGGAGTATACCCCCAGATGCCCATTTAGCTCAATAATGAAGTCACTCCCAAGGTTCACCCTTCAGCCAAAGATTAGACAGCCCCATAAAACAAAATGAAACTAAAGGGGCACACCAGCCCAGGGCCAAGGACTAGAAGGCAGGAGGGGACGACAGGAAAGCTGGTAATACGGAACCCAAGGTCAAGAAGGAAGAGTGTTGACATGTCGTTGGGTTGTTAACCAATGTCCTAAAACAGTATGTGTACTAACTATTTAATGAGATGCTAGTTTGTCCTGTAAACCTTCATCTAAAGTACAATAATAAAAAAATTTTTTAAAAAAAGAATATATGAAACACAAGAATGCTGAAACTTGATTGATCAAGTTGTTTTTATTCTTAGTGTGGTACCAAGCATGACAATTTTCATAATAAAGTCACAAGGTACAGCAGTCTTAGTAACATGCTTGGAACACAGCTAATAAAGCACATCTATGGTGTAAAACATGGGTCCTCAAGAGTTGGAGTTGACTCAACTGCTGTTTTTTTTCCCCTTTCTTTCTTCTTCTTTTTTTTTTTTTTTAAATAGGATGCCATCACCAAAATAACTTAATTATTCAAGACCTGGAAGTAAACTTCCCATGTACCCTCTAAATAGAGAACTGAGAATATAACTAAGAACAGTATCTCAGTGGGTAACAGCCACAGCACTCACCTTGACATTGGAGCCGGCATAAAGCCTCTGAGCCAGCAATCTTCCCGCCTGGATTGCTACTGGGGTGAGCTCCAGCTTATCCTCCAATATATCACCAATGGCATAGATGTAAGGCACATTGGTCTGCTCCTCATCAGTGACGGGTATTTTTCCAGTCCTGTAAATTCATTCAGTTAAAATCATCAGTTACCATTATTAACTAAGTAGAACAAAGTCCCCTTTCTCCCAAGGAAGCCCAAAACTGTAACCCTAGCTGAGGGATATGTTCTAGTGTATTTCAAAATCAAAAACCATTCAGAGGAACCAAAAACCTTAGTGGACTATTCTGTCCACTATTATGAAAAAATCAAAGGCATAAGAAAACTATAAGAAATCCCAGAGTGGGAGAACTAGAACATAATGGTCAAGTATGAAGATTCTGAATTGTAATAACCAGGTTTGCTAGTTATTACCTCTCTGTAAGCCTCAGTTTCCCTATGTATAAATTGAATAACAGGAATGAGAAGGAGATTACCTTAAAGGGTTGTGAGGACTGAATGAGAAAGTGTATAAAACATATAGCACAATAGCCCATGACTCACAGTAAGTGCAAAAATGTTAGCTATTAACATTATACAAAATCTAAACCTTGGACCCAACCGGAAACAGGCTAGCAGTTTACTGAGAAGATCGAACACTGGACTGCTACATCATATTAGTGGCTTTCCTAACTCCTTTGTCTCTTCAGCCCAGTGCAAACAAAATAAGGCAAAAATCATCACACTGATCTTAGAAAATCTGTCCTCCTGAATAAATGTTATTCCTGGAAGAAAAAAATTTGCACTTTCCAAAGCTTGTTGCCATTCACAACACTTGTTCCCACTTGGTTGTAAGAATGGTGATACTGGGAAATAGCCCATGCTGTCCCCAAATGCAGACACCATAGATTCTCAGTTATCCAGTGCAGTAGTATGGGCCAAGGGATTTTAACTTTACAACCCTCGAAAAAATAAACATTTTTGATACTTGTAACTGTCACTAGAAATGTAGTGATCACCTCGTGATTCTAAAACTTGGTTCAAGTCCACATACTTAATGATGCTCAAAGCACATATCTGCAATTATTGTGGAGCTGTACATACAAAAAAGAAACAAAATGCAAGCCAGTGTCCTTATTTATATTTTAAAAATAAGAAGCAAAAAAAGAAAACAAAGGAAATCCTAATGCAAGTGGCATTGAAAGAAAAGTCTTCTAAGCTTAAAAAGGGAGCTTTCTAACTATGGTAAAATTAACTTTAACAATCTAAAGCTCTAGTATTGATCAATGTTGCAAGTAACTGAAATAATATTCAATACAACATAATACTTTTACTTACTTTTCATTAATCTTTACTCCCACAGTCTCTAAACCAAGTTTTCTTGTGCAAGCATCTCTTCCTATTGCCAGTAATACCTGAAAAATTGTTAATACAGTAGTGACTATTAACAAAAAGGCTTTGCATGATTTATTTAATCATATTTTCCTCTGCTTATTGAAGACAATCCAATTTCATTCTCTAGACCTGGAAAGAAATATTTCATTAAGAAAATAATGTTAAGAGTTTAATAAACAACAACAAAATCCTTTGAACATGACGCAGCAGAAATCCTTTCCTATTTCTTGATAAGAAAAGGGGACTTTATTCCTTAATAAACCTTGCCAAATTTAGAGGCAAACATACTATGACTGAATGAAGTGACTTTTTAAATTCGTGGGCTGGGGAGATGCAAGGGAAGAACATGGGACAAAGGAATTCTAGCTAATTTAAAAATTCTGGTACCTTTTTACAGCCATTTGACAAACAATATTTTAAGTTACGGTGGAAAATCTGAAGCCACCTCTGTATGAAAACAAACTATAATAACACAGATAATAAAGATGTCTTAGAATGGGAATAGAAGCAGTACATTTTGGAAACAACAAATAGCAAGCCGCCACAGTAAGTAACCAGAAGATATCCAACAAGCACATATTTACTTTGTAATGAAGTACTGACTCAGGTCCATTCCTTACCGTATTATACTCTCCTTCGATGGTTTCCTCACTATTGGTTGACTTTGCTACCACCTTGAGTCGGCCTGGTGTCCCTGCTTCAATTTGTTCAATCTGTAAAAGTGACAAAGTTTTACTCTGAAATAAAGACATGTATCAAGGGAGATAACTGCGTCCTCACCTTTTATAACTCTAAGTGAAAACATAAAAGACGGCTCTGAAAGGTCTTTCATGGCCCATCTCCCTCACCTCAACATCTTTAGGATGATAAATGATTCTTTTATTTTTTTAATTCCCTTCTTTCTCACTGCTTATATGTTATTTGTTATTTCAAATACTTGTCAAACAGAATAAAATCCAGACAGAAAAGTGGGAAAGAAGGAAGTCAGAGAAACACACTACAAATGTTCACATTGGAGTAGGTCAATAATGATGCAAGTAACAGCCGGCAGGCCTAAAAACCATGGTGAGCAAGGAGACGTGTGTATCATAACCAGGGGTTGTCTCGGTTGTTACGGACGTTGGGAGGAAGGAGCCAGCCCTAGTACTTGTGCTATGGCATAGGTGACTGAACATACTAACCTACTGCACAGAGATGTCAATGATAATCTACAGGCTGGGTAGTAATGACTCAGAAATCCTATCACTTGGAGGCGTCTCTAAGTATGCTGAGTTACCTTTGATGTTTAAAGGGCACACAAATCACACAATTCAATAAAACATCTACTGGGGGAAACCCATAAAATCACCTGCAATTTCTGTGCTACCTTTAAAATACAACCACTCTGTATAGGAAAACTGTCAGGTCTCATTTTATATTCAACATCAATAAACAGAAAAAATTTCCTTTTAGAATTCTCTTCCTTTCTAATGTAGTCAACACCCTTTGAACATGCTAGAAATCTTTTCTTGTTTAATTTAAATCTAAACGTTCTAATATTTTAACAGGAGCCCTTAGTGCAGTGGTTAAGAGCTTGGCTGCTAACCAAAAGGTCAGCAGTTCGAATCCACTAGCTGCCCCTTGGAAACACTATGGGGCAGTTCTATGCTGTCCTACGGGGTCACATCAAGTTGGAATCGACTCGATGGCAACGGGTTTGGTAATTGGTCCATGGCTTAGATATATTTCAAAACACTGAGTTAAGGGTCTCATCCTAACTCTATTCCTTCCTGCTTTGCTCAGTTTTGTACTCCACTCTAGCCTTTTCGGTACCTAGAACAAACCCCGCCCCCTGCATACACACACACACTCTTTTTGCATGTGCTACTGTTCTCTCACATAGGGTTGCTATGAGTCGGAATTGACTCGATGGCAATGGGTTTGTTTGCTTTTTTGTTTAATGTTCTGTATCCAAAACGCACTGTCCTCTCCAGTCTCTTAACTCCCTTATTTGCATTTCAGCTCAAATGTCACCTGCTATAAGAAGCCCTCTCTGAAGCTCAGATAATAGAAAGTCTACCTGCTATGTACTCTCCTAGTCCCCTCTACTCTTCCTTCATAGCAAAGAAAATACAGTCATTGTGTTATTACTTGCTTACTGTTTGATTTCTCCATAGACTGTAAGTTTCATAAGGAAAAGGCCAGTGTCTCTCTTGTTCTCTGACAGATTCCCAGGGCTTAGTACAAAGTTGGCACTCGACAAACATTTGTGGAATGAATACATTTCCCTGTGTACTGTGGAGGGGCAGAACATCCAATCTCTTGGGTACACTTTCTAATAAAGTAGCCACGCCACTAAAGTAGTGTTCTACCAAGTCTTTATGATTTATATTTACCAGATTATCAGCATCTTCACTTGACAGGATTTTAAAAATAGTCTTCCTATGCAAAGATGTCACTGCAGTGGTCTGAGCCAAAGTATTCCTCCCAAGTGCCACCCATATGCATAGCTCATATTCTGACGACATCAAGGGTTATTTGCCATGTTGGTGGAATAAGAATAACCTAATCAATCACATTACAGAATCTGGCGCAGGGGTGAAGAGCTTGGTTGCTGACCAATAGGTCGGCAGTTCAAATCCACCAGCCGCTCCTTGGAAACCCCATGGGGCAGTTCTACTCTGCCCTATAGGGTCGGTATGAGTCAGAATTGACTCAACGGCAATGGGTTATGGGTTATAGTTTTCAGGTACAAAAGAGGTCATATACCTAATCCTTTAATAGACTCATGAGTGAAAGGAGCCTGCGAGAGGCTAAGTAAAGTGGACAAGGTTACAAAGCCAGCAGCGCTGTTGCCTGGACTCCTTGCCTGCACGAGGCTCCTTCCACCCAGTCACTGTGTAATACAATAGGCATTCTTAATCTGGCTATGGGGTGCTGGGGACACCCTGGTAAACCAAGCAAAATGTTATGTGCACAGACATAGGTTCTCAAAGGTTCACAACCCCCCAAATGTTAAGATGTTCTATAAGATGACGTTACTTTTTACCAGTATAGCATACACTCTAAGCACACTTGCTGTTTCCTAATCATAGCCCTGATTGAAAACATATATAGCCGTACTCCCAAAACACAGCTACAGGAATCAAGCCCTGATAACTTCCAGGAAATGTGTTATTTAATCCTCACAATGACTAATGACTTTATAAGTGCTAGCTAATGCAATCCTCACAAGAAACCCGAGTTACAGCATTCCTGATTATTTATATTGCTGAAAGGATGCCTCCTACCACCCACCCCAACTCCCTCTCTTGCCTTTTAACATGGGTACGGAATCAACAAACCTATAAGCAATCCCCACTTACTTTTATTGGTACAAACTGTCTTATAAACTTGACACCATGTTCTTCCATGTGTTCACCGATTTTATTGGCCATGTCCTGGTCAAATCCTCTAAGGAGAATGGACCGTACCATAACAGTGACATCTAAGCCAATACCAGCAAGAAATCCAGCACATTCCAAAGCAACATAGGATGCTCCAACCACGAGGGTCTTACCCGGGGAGTAAGGTAAGGAGAAAAGATCATCACTGGAAAGATATTTAGGAGGAAAAAAGAAAACAAAATGATCATATGTGAATAATGAGCAAATCAAAGTAGATATTTTTATTTTCCTAAGATTAAAGATTAAAAACATTCTGTTAACAGAACATAATATGAGAAGTTTTTATAAACTCTTAGACACTCCCACTTTCTTGCCACTCAGTTGCTCTGGGAGCAGCTTCAGGTACTTCTGACATTAGTCCAACTAAGTCAATCTTAAGATTATTTAGTGATTTCATAATTCAAGTCATTTAGTTATCTAATGTGCCAAAGTCAAACAAAATTATTTTGAACTGTTTGGAAAAATTCTACACTAACGTGTTGAAAACCACACATATGTATACAGTCGCAAACCCAAACCCCCACCCTCCCACCAGTCAGGTCTCTCCTCGGTGGACAAATCTGCTACTTTTCACCTGGCACATCAATTACTGACAACGGGGAGAAAGGGTGAAAAAACTGTCAACATCTTGCTTTTCTAATATAAAAACCAATTACAAGAAGTAAAAACTCACAAAAGCTTCTAGTCCTGTGAGACAGAGGATAGAGATCCTAAAAGCATTGTTGGGAGTGAGTTTTTAAAAATACGAAAAGGGAGTCTATCCACAGCAGCAATGACAGCAGTTGCCATCTGAGCCGCCGGCCCCTGCATGAGGCCACACTGGATAAAATTATAGCACACACATACACACACAAGAAGGTCAGCAATGTTATCACCTGACAGGCAAAAATAAATCACACTGCAAAACCCTCTTATTTGACTCACATATTTCAGAAAAGTCCCTCATACTGACACTGACCATTTCAGCTGCAATAACCAGACTAGGACCTGATAGATCTAAATAGCCCGCCAGCCTTTAATTATTCTGGCATCCACTTTGCAAGTCTTAATGGGTAATATACTTATTTTTTTGTCAAAAATAATCTATATACACACAAATCATTTATAAAATACTTTTGACCATCAATCTGATTTATACATTCTACATTTATAATATATACTCACATATGTGTAAATAAATTTCAAGAACAAATATAAATAGTATAAGCCTATTTCTATATACAAACATGGTAGCAGTGACAGTAATATTAACTCAGGGTGGTAAGATGACCAATGTTTGTTAGTCTCTCCTTTGCAGTACTGAATTTTCAAAATGTTCTCTTGTTAAAACAAAATGTGGCAAAGAACTCTGAATTCCAGGAAATGGACTAAACGGGTTTGGGTGGGGAATGGGGAACAAAAGCAAAAATCCACAATGGGTTTTTTCTTTTCCTTCCTGCTTTGTTTTTTCTTACCTGCTGATGCAGTACTCTTTGTCCCCAGGGATGCCCAAGTAACGTGGTCTTTCACCAGTTGCAATGAGAAATCTCTCTGCTGAATAAATTTTTTCTTTGCCTTTATTATTGGTTGCCTACAAAAGAACCAAATACGTCAACTTTTAGTAAGTCATTATCCCACAGAAATGCTGATTCCCATTCATCACATCATCTAATTCAATCCCCATAAAAATTTGGTAATACAGTAAAGAAAGAGATATTAAGGCTCTGAGTTGTTAACGGACTTGCTTAAGAACACAACGTCAGAACGTGGCAGAACCAATACTCAAACCCAGGGAGCCTAGCTCACATCTAGCACTTACCACTTTACCACACCACAACGGAAGGCCCTGTAAGAAGGCATGGCTGCAGAGTCACCAAACTACATCCTCTGGGTCATGGTGGCCATTGTTATTGTTAGGTGCAGTTGATTTCACAGCAGCCCCATGTGACAGAGTAAAACTGCCCAGTAAGGTTTTCTACGCTGTAATCTTCACAGGAGGAAACTGCCAGGTCTTTCTCCCGCAGAGCTGCTGGGTAGGTTCAAACCGCCAACCTTTTGGTTAGCAGCCAAGCGCTTAACTGTTGCACAGTCAAGGCTCTATGGTGGCCTTTTTTTTTTTCCTTTAATTGTAATCATCTCCTTTTCTCCCATACCCTAGCCAAACCCAAAAAAGAAAACAAAACTACTCCGGGTTATCACACAATTACCTTAACCCTATGAGGACCAACAAACTGCCCATAAGCATTCTCATAGGTGACTTTTTTCTCCCGTAGAGCTACCCGGTAGCCCCAGTTCAGCGAGCCAATGTAATTCTGTACAGCTTCTGTCATTTTTTCCCAGTCATGTTTAACTGCATAAGAAAATAGGAAACAATGTTTAGACTTTCAACTGCCTGGCAAAGATCATTTCTCAGTAACTATTCACACGGAATACAAAGAGCAGTAAGTCCCCAGGTTACCAACTTCCGGAACTCCTACTTGCCCTTCAATGTTATGTAAATCTGCCCCGAATTGAAACCATTAAAGCAACTCCTACTCAGAACAACTTCATCACAATCACCTTCACTTGCTGCACCTGCAGCTTTTAAAATCATTGAAAAGGCTTTGAGCCTTTTCTTGCACTAACGTAAAGCAAAATAAGAACCGTGGAACGGATCTCGTTCATAACCCAGAGACTCCCTGTATTGGTCTAAAATGATAAGGCCTTCATTTTGAGCACATAAAATACTTTTCACCTTGAAATATTTTTTCTCTTTTAGAAAACTACTGTTAACAATTAACTAATGCAAGGCTTCCTAGCAATTCTAAAACTAAAATAATACAGAAACCTTCTTCTGTATCTATAAATGAACTGGAATTTTATTTTGGATTGTAAATATTAATTGCTGGGATATGGGGTGTGGTAAAGCCTAGGATTCCCTATTTGTAACAAACTCTATGGGATTCTGATATAGCCCGGTTTGGAGTTACTGAATTGGTAACAGTCTTTAGACCAGGGGCTGGCAAACTATGGCCCCACAAGCCAAATCTAGCTAGTCACCTTTTTCTATAAACAAACTTTCACTGGAATACAGTCATGTTCATTTATTTGCGCATGGTCTATGACTGCTTTTATGCTACAATGGCAGAGTTGAGTGGTTACAAGAGGCTATATGGTCCACAAAGCCTAAAATATTTACTATCTGGCCTGTATAGAAAAAATACCAATCCCTGGTCCAGACAGAGTATTTTCAGAGTCAATATCATTGCCTACCCTCCAAGTCCCCACCTTACCAAACAGTGTGAAAGTTTGTGATTCTATCATAAGAAGTTAATCCTTGAGAGTCAAGACAATAATATACTCAATATCAAATTTCAAAAACCTCAGAAAAGAGGTAAAAAAAAAAAAAATCTATCCACTGCCATTCATTAATTAATACCTTATCATAAATTAGTGTTCTATCAATGACTAGGGAAAAAAATAGGTTACAGGTAAAATACACTGATTAGTGATGGGAAGAAGAAAGTTTCTGGAGAAAGTGTGGTTTGTTAGGAAGGAGAAGAAAATTGGCATATATTGAAAGTATCATGGAAATGAAGAACCTGAGTTTAAAGTGGTTTAGTAATCTGGCCATACAGGAAGTAGGGAAACAAAGTCTATAAATTCTGTCATGGATTGAACTGTGTCCCCCCCGACCCCAAATATGTTTCTATTTGGTTAGGCCATGATTCCCAGTCTTGTGTGGAAATATTGTGATCTGATGTAATTGTCCTATGTGTTGTAAATCCTAATCTCTGCCTGTGGGTGATGAGGGAAGATTAGATCATGTTACAGAGGATCAGGGTGGGATGCAACATCCTTAAGCAGGTCACAGCCTTGATCTGATGTAACGGGAGTATAGCCTGCATCACCGTTTATCTTACAAGAGATAAAGGGAGAGAGAACTGAGCGGAGAGCGGGACCTGACTACCACCAAGAAAGAAGAGCCAGGTGCGGAGCACGTCCTCTGGATCTAGGGTCCCTGCGCTGAGAACCTCCTAGACCTAAGGGAAGACTGATACCAAGACACATGTAGATCTCCAAGGAATGCCAGGCCCACAGATGTTGAAAGAAGACAAGGACCATCCCCCAGAGCTGACAGAGAGAAAGCCTTCCCCTAGAGCTGGTTCTCTGAACTACTTTTAGCCTCCTAACTGTGAGAGAATAAATTTCTGTTCGTTAAAGCCATCCACTTACAGTATTTCTGTTAGAGCACGACTAGATAACTAAGACAGGATTCAATGGCCACCAATGCTGTCCCTGATCTGCCCCATCCCACTACCAGAGCCAGGCTACACCCTTAGATTTGACAACAGTAACCAAACTAACCCTCACATATCTGTCAGTTTGTCCTACTGTGATACAACCAAAATCCTCCTTAGAAGCAAGGATGGCGAGACTATGCCTTACACTGGACATGCTATCAGGAGGGATCAGTCCCTGAAGGACACCATGCTTGGTAAAGTACAGGGTCAGCGAGAAAGAGGAAGACTCTCAACAAGATGGACTGACACGGTAGCTGCAACAATAGGCTCAAGCATAATGCTTGTGAGCATGGGGCAGGACCAGGCAGTGTTTCGTTCTGTGGTGCACAGGGTTGCTGTGAGTTGGAAATGACTCAACAGTACCTAACAACAACCAAACTAACAGAACCACCTATCATCTTTTAACATGCTCAGAACATCTTCTCATTTGAATCTCCAAGCACCTGAAGGGGCAGGAATTACACCCACTATGTGCACAGGGAAATAAAGGAAGGATGACCTGCCCAAGGTCACACACCAGCTCAGTGGCAGTCATATGCTCACTGTATGTAAAATGTCAAGTGTGTGGTGAGAGACTCCATTCAAAAACTACAAGCTCCCAATTGCATACCAATGACTTTGCTTTCCTTTTAATGGCCATAAAATCCTAAAGCTTCTCAAATACTTAATTTTTCAAATGCACATTTAATTCTTGAGCATAAGAGAGTTCAAACAGATAAATTTGAAGAATGTAACAAAAAAACAAACCTGTTGCTGTCGAGTTGATTCCAACCCACAGCAACCCTACAGGACAGAGTAGAACTACCCTGTAGAGTTCCCAAGGAATGCCTGGTGGGTTTGAACTGCTGACCTTTGGGTTAGCAGCTATAGCACTTAACCACTACACCACCAGGGTTTCCTTAAAGGATACAGAGCCAGTAAATCATCTACAAAGGACCAAATCATCCAATTTAAACAACTGAGTTCAAGTGATTTTTCTTAAAGCCTGAGACTCTCTGTACGTTCTCAGCTTGGCGCTTTAGAAAAAAGGTGTATCACAGACTGACTCCTGGACCCACCAGCTGTGAGGATGACATGTCACCACCCCCATCACTAGGCAGATTCAGCTGTTCTTCCTGGCCCAGGTCCCTTTCCTCCCTCACCACACTGGAGGCTATTTGTGGTGTTAGAGACAGTTTTCCTAGGAAAGAGGAGGGTGGTTCTTTGGTCATGGACATGAGATTAGGTGTGTTTCTAGTCTAAAAATGCAGAACAAGCCCTCGAGCTTCATCTGTTGGGCAACATGGATCAGCAGGCTTTATGGGTTTCAATTTTCTCATCAGAAAAATACACCTCCAAGTTTCTTTCTAGCTCTAAGACCTAAGGACACAAAACAACACTTGTCTAAATCCACTGTATTCTTCACCACAATTATTTTACCGCAGAAACAAGGGAGGTCACTACAGCTCCTTCAGTGATGGCTCCTGACAGGCACGGCAGGCCCCTTCCAAAGCCCAGCTCTGGTTCTCTCAGATAGGCCACAGCTTGCCTCAGACGGCCAAAGGCTTAATTAATGAGAACAGCTGAAGGTATTAGTAAGAATCAAGCCACCAGGCTTCCACTTATGAAGACTGGAAGGATTTAAATAGCTTTCAGAGACTACTGGATTGCTGTTGATGCTGACAAATACAAGAAGTGGAAGGTATAGAACTAGAAAAGTGTATTGCCACCTTAAAATCTGGAAAGAGGGAACAGAAAGGAGGCAAAACTGTTAAAATAGTTGGATAAATAATTTATCTGAGGCTAGAGAAATATGATAACTTTGATTTGGTTCAAGTTTTAAAGTCCCATGAAATTAAAAAAAAGGCACAGGTCTGGATTATGCTAGTATTGGCTCTTTATTACCTCACTTGTAAATTTATTAATTCTTGATTTATAATTTAGAAATAAATTCAATGTAAAAATAAGCATTAAGAAAAAGTTGTCATAAAGTCGATTCTTAGTCATGGTGACCACAAGTGTTAGAGGAGAACCACTCCATAGGGTTTTCTTGGCTGTAATCTTCACGGAAGCAGATTGCCGGGCCTTTCGTCCACGGCACTGCTGGGTGGGTTCTAACTGCCAACCTTTAGGTTAGAAATCAAGCACAAACACTAGCATAGCTAGTGTTTATTATTATCAAATGACAGCTACAGAGATACTTTTTCTGGAAAGATCTGTCAATTCAAGTTATATTTCACCATCTACCTGATTGTTGAATTTATTAGAATTACACTTAGTTGGCCTTGTTAATAAAATTTATATTCAGCAGAGATCTATACTTTTCATCTTCAACTTACTAACCTGATTAAGTTATTAAACCGCCAGCATTTTAAGAGTCTAAAAACCCATTGCATATATTTTCTAACCAAATTAGCAACCCTGTTCCACATTTTTTATATAAGTTGGTAGTTTAGGGCTAACATCAACAAGCACTGCACACCAATTTGAGTACCAGACCCTACCTGGATGAATAAAAAATGTATGGGTCTGAGTTATATCTAACACAGTTAATTATCTAGATTTAAGGGCCAGTGACACTCACTGGGAAGAAGACAGTGTGTGGAAGTTAGAAAGCTGCATAAATCAAAATCTGCTTGGAACAACCTTGTTTTTTCCAAAGTTTCTTTTCAGATTAATGTTCTTATTACCGTTTTTTTTGCAAATAATGCATCCATACAATAACGCATGGCATAACTTTCACGTATAAAAATAGCCAAAAGGGAGGTTATGTAGTTGGCAAAAAACTTACAATGTGCAAGTTATTTGCATGAAAATACAGTACGTGTCATTCTCTTTAACAGAGAGCTAACTTGGTTCAAATACACAACTTCCTATGATATCAGCAAATGTTTTTTATACTACTCATTAAACAAGGAACCAAGAAAAATGCCTGGCAGAATCCACTCCAATTTATGAAACTGATTAAAGAATTAAAAGAAGCAAGTCCAGGAAGAAGGGAGAGAAACCAACATTTGTTAAGTGGCAAGTACTTTTATCACATTATTGTATTTAATCCTCATCACACAGGCAGTAAATGACAGAGTAAGAATCTGCACCCAGATTTCTCTAGTATAGTAACTGACACTTCAGTGAGTCAGAACGCTGGAGTGAAGGAAGAAACCTAGTACTAGGTACCTAAGGGGAAAAGGTCTTACTGAGAATATTAGTAAAGACTACATGTGGAACAATTGGGGGGAGGGGGAGAGCACCAATCTTACGGAGGTGAGTGAAAAAAAAAAAAAAAAAGGTGGTTCTTAAGTTTTCCTCCCAAAGGCAAGAAGGAAAACTGGAATATGGCTTATAGACTACAAAAATAACGTGCCTTTTTTGAAAGCATGCTAAGAGGAGGCACACACTACAGTGTCAAAAGAGATCTCCATGTGCCTGCTCCCGAGGACAGCTCCTGATGTTCTGGCCCTACAGAATTACTGTCACTGATGTCGTAATGGTTTAAAGACTACTTGTTGTAGGGCAAACAACATGTGCTTTGAAGTCAGAAAGACCTAAGTCCAAGTTCTAGTTCTGCCAATGTCTTGCCTATGACATCATGGGCAAACTACTTCATCTCCTAGAGCTTTAGTTTCCTCATCTGCCAAATAGGAACAGCAGCATGTTGCCAGGGATGGTAGGATTAAATGTGTACTGGAGTAGGGATGGTGCTGAGAAAAGGGGAGCATAACCACTAAGCCTGACATTCAGGACCCTCAATGACTCTGTGTAAGGCTGGAAGGAGGTGAGGATGGGTAAGGGGGAAAGGTGATAAGGTCTTCTCTTCTATAGCTATGGTCTTCACGTTTCTCTCCCCATTATCTTCTGCTACAATCCCAAGAACCATTAAAGGAGATACATATAAGCAACTGTTCCAAGTTGTCCTCAGAACAATTGTGCAGCTAGCTAACCTCATCTACATTCCACCTAAACCACCCAGGGTGTTACTCTCCCAAACCACCCAGGGTGTTCCTGCCCACAGTACAGTCCTCCTACCCATTCCGCATACATGTTTCTCACATACCCTAGGTTCCAGTCACACCAGGGTATATAAACTGTCTTAGTCATCTAATGCTGCTATAACAGAAATACCACAAGTGGATGGTTTTAACGAAGAGAAGTTTATTTCCTCACAGTCAAAGTAGGCTAAAAGTCCAAATTCAGGATGTCAACTCCAAGAGAAGTCTTTCTCTCTCTGTTGGTCTTCTCACCAGTGTTTCCTCGGACTAGGAGCTTCTCGGCCCAGAGACCCCCCTGTCCAAAGGACGTGCTCTGCTCCTGGCACTGCTTTCTTGATGGTATGACGTCCCCCGTCTCACTGCTCACTTCTGTCTTTTATATCTCAAGACATTGCCTCAGGATACAATCCAATCTTGTAGACTGAGTCCTGCCTTACTAACACAACTGCCGCCCATTCTCCCTCATTAACATCATAGAGGTAGGTTTACATTATACAGAAAAATCACATAGTACCAGGAATCATGGCCTAGCCAAATTGATACACACATTTTTTGGGGGACATAATTCAAACCATGACATAAACCTTGGCCCTCCTCTTCTCTCTGCCTGAATGGAGTGACCTTTCCTGATCTGCTGATTGTCAAGTACACAACCTATCTGAGAAACCTCTTAAATCAAATTTACCAATCCCCTCATTGTGCTCCCAGGGTACTTTAGTGTGCACATCAACGATGCATCAACGATAACAGTCGAATCTCTGCACCTGCAGGATTTGTATTATTTACCTCTGCATTTTCCTAGCACAGAATCAAGTGCCAATAGTAGACACTCAATATTAACATTATATAACTTCATCAGTAGGATTTCTAAAATCTCTACCAAGAAGTCTAATAAAATAATTGAAGGGAAACCCTCTTGCTAACTGGGTACATTAACAAATAGTCTTCCAAGAGGGTAAAAAACTGCATTAATGGAAGACTTAATTGATGGGCATTCAAACACTCCAAGAGGATGATAACTGGTGGATATGGGGGAGTTGTGATGGACTACTGGTAGATTATATGTTAAATTCATGCTCTGCAGGTAGAAAGCGTTTGCTTTATATTCATGCTCCATGCTCCACAGGTCAAGAGTCTGCTCAACTGCCCTTCCTGCTGGGCAAGAGAAAAGGACTTGGGCAAGGCACCTCAGAACCAAATAATGAAGCTCTCAGTACCAACCTCAACCCTCCAAAGCTCATGGGCAGAAAACAGCCTTGTAAGGGTTTGGGAAAACACTTATAAATTTTAAGTACCTGAATTTTCTAAGATGCCAAACTTGAAAAAAGTACTTTTGATCTTAAGTGGGAAGTAAAAGCATCAACAAAGAAAGTATGACTAGTTCGAGTGGGAGCAAAATTTTTCAAAGCAAGTATTTTTGCCTTGTTTTTTAGTATTTAATTAAATTATGCATTAAAACTTGGAAAAAGCCACAAAATAGTTTACTTTAGTTACTGGCTGGATAAGTATTCCCTCAAATGTCCCCTGCCCCGGCCCCCCACCCCATGCCAATAAATCTCAAAACGAAAATCAGTAAGGGGTTAGAGTTTCACTCTCAAGGACAGAGTGAGATCCATCATTAATTACTCACAAAGCTGTGCCAGACTTCATTTTGTTCTTCTATCAGATAATACAATTTACTTTATAAAGTCAACAATTCCTAGAATTTCTATAACACTCTGTATTTTTAATCCAACAAAGACTAATCTCCCCCTAAAACAATCTCCTTTCCCCTCCCTCTCCCCAAAAAAAAATTAGCTCATGAAACAGACTTCTTGGGAGACAGAAAAAATGCAACAACAGCTTTAAAAGAATGCAAATGTAATTTACACCTCCTTCTGATACACTACATAATCAACGGAGTTTTATTTTAAGGAATTCTGATTTTCTATTACAGAAAGATCATATTTCAAGTGCAATGTCTATTCTTACTATAGTAACTATAGTTGCCTGACACACAGTAACTATAATCATTCTATCCATAAAAAATTGAAATAATAAAAACTTCCAAGTGACTCACTAGCCTCATAAAAAAAGTTAACACATTACAAAATGACAGTTCAAACCCAAAAGCACAAAGGAAAGAGTAGCTCTTCCCCTCCATACCCATGTCCTCGACTTTCCACCCGTAGTTGCGAGAGTCTTGTAGGGCTTGTCCTAACAAAGCTGCCTGGTGCATCAGTTTTTTAGGTATGCAACCCACATTCACACATGTTCCTCCAAGACCTGAAACAACATTGAGAAATAACTTATGGCATACTTTTCAATCCTTCAAAGAAAAGGGTCAAAAATTATTACAATTCTAAGAAATATAATTTATTTGCTTAATGTGGCCAATGCGGTTGTCATAAATCTATTCCTATGTCTCCCGGCATCTCTTAAGTTCAGAGAGAGCCTTATGCACAAAATACAGTGACATCATCCTAAAACAAAACAAAAATGAGGGGCAGATTTCCACAGACTACAAAGATTCAACCTTAACTCACTGCTGATAAAGATGCCAGAAATTGAAATTGTATTATATACACAACCCTCTGCTTGTCACCGGACCTAGGCCAGAACTGATAAGCTGGGCACAGCTGGACTGCACGGTGTCTGAAAGTACATATAAAATTTAATGTATATGTGCATCTTCCTAGGGAGATGGTTCATGACTTTCACTTGATTCTCAAAGGGATTTACGACCAAAAAATATCATCATCCCTGAACTTGAACACAGGGATAGACTGCTTCCATTAGACTAAAATACAGGCAGATGCAGAGAACAAACTGACACGCGTATGAGTGCAGGATGGTACTTGCTATTCTTCAGATACGAACCTTGGTCACTCTCTTCTCTCTGCCCAGATGGAGTGACCTTCTCCCCTCTGCTGACTGTCAAGGGCACAACCCATCTGAGAAACCATCCCAGTTACCTCTTAAGTCAGATTCATCAATCCTACCACCCTGCTCTCAGGGTACTTGATATATGCACTAATGATGCATCCACAGATAAAAAGTTTAAACTTTCAATTACTAAGCCCCTAAGTATACTAGGTTACTCAAATATTTACCTTCATATCATCATAAAAGCATGTAGATAAGGTTTTTAATATCTTAACTCTGTATCAAAGAACCAAAATTTTCAGCATTTTTTAACCTGAGCCCATTTTAACTTAGCTCAATTCAAAGAGGTATACTTTTTAATTTTAAAATTTTTAAGTTGGGTTTTAGCAGTCATTTAGACCAATGGCATGGAAAATCTTGCTTTGTTACAAATTCACTTGTAAAATATTTTAAAAGCTTACCCCATCTAGTTCCAAGAGGGGTTGGAGTGACAAAATCCAGGACCATCACCTTCTTGTCATACTTGGCTGCCTCCTGGAAAACAAAATTATTAAATATGTTAAAATGCACCGGAAAGGTTAATGTGATAGATTAGAAATGGACAGCTAAAAGTCCATGCTGTTTTTATTAAGCTGTAATGCCTAAAGCACAACCAGTTATTAACACCTAGGAATTTCACATGCCAAGGTGATTAGTGCAACTCCAGGATAAAAATTAAAAGAGACTCATAGTCACAAGGGCAGCTTGAATCTGTTGGAAATCCTAGAATCTTCTTATATAGGTCTAATAAAATAACAGATTAAGTAATAATCAGAAAAAAAATGAAGTCATTTTTCAAGCAAGTGATAAGTAGCAGGTAAAGCAGGCCTGCCAATAGCTCACAGTCCTTCATTCAGTCTATATCCTATAAGGAATATTTTAAAAAATACTTTCACTTTTAACCAATTGAGTTTATAAGTAGAATATGGAAAGAGCTTTTCTTCTGAAATTATGAGATTTCCTAAAATTTTCATGTGAGGAGCCCATGAAAAAGCTGGCTCCATCTAAAATAACCCAAAAAAAATCAAATCCGTTGCCATCAAGTTGATTCCGACTTATAGCAACCCTATAGGACAGAGCAGAACTGCCCCATAGGGTTTCCAAGGAGCAGATGGTGGATTCGAACTGCCAACCTTTTGGTTACCCGCCTGAGCTCTTAACCACTGCACCACTAAGGCTGTGACACTGAGAGGTTTCCAAATCTTCTTTTTTAGGGGAATGAAAACGTTCAGACATCAGAAGTTCATTTTGTAGAGTATCCTTTATCCCTTTCTCAGAGAATAGGTTTTGCATATTGGCAACTAGACCTCCAAAGTTTATCTGAAAGGACTGAGTCTATATGTCCTTCAAAAATATCATTACTATAGTAAAATATATCATGTATTACTCCCAAATCACTTTCAGCAAAGCACTGCTTGATACCAGACAAATGACACGCACTGAGAGTTACTTTTGGTCAGGCCTGCTCCTAATTTAGACAGCTTCATTTGAATGGGCCTTACTGATCCACCACAAGCTATACCTTAGGGCAGTATAACCACTTCATCTTTTAAAGTACCTGTTCAGTAAGGGTGACAGGCCCAAGGGCACCTCAGATTCAAGGTCAAGAGCTTTACTCCTAACCTCCCTTATTTATGCATCTTCTTCCCCATCACCCCCAGGCCACTGGGCTAGTTACTTTCTTAGAACACCACATATACACAGGAAGCAAGACATTTTTAATAAATAACTTTAAAAAATCCAACTTCCCTCCATCTTTCCATTGGGTTAAGAATAGGGAAATGGTCAATGTGAAAAAAAAATTATAAAGGATTAGAATTACATTTAATTTCAAGCCACCATTTCTGTACAATACCCCTATTATCTTTGAAAAATCAACCAAATTTAAAATGAATAGAAATGTGTTCCAAAATACTAGGCCTGGTACTTTTATATAAAGAACATACCATGTTTCAATTTGGAAAAATGACTTACAAAGTGGTCCCTTAACATGTCCTGTCCAAGTTAACGGGCAAAATGCCACATCAGTGGATTAAACAAATTCCAGACAGATTGAAGAATTTAGCTCTGACAGGGATGTGAATATTTAAACCATAATCCAGATAAACACAACACAAGTAGCCTTGCCTTAGCAGCAGCCAGTCCTCCTGAGCCACCTCCAATGATGATAAGGTCATAGTCATAGGACTCAGGAAGATCCTCAGAGTCATTCATTTTTAGTAGCTTTTGAAGTCTGCCCTCCTGATATGCCTAAGAAAGAAAAACAATGGAAGGGAAAAATTATTTAACTTAAAAGCAACAACATGCTATGACATCAATGAAACTTGAAAATATTATGCTAAGTGAAACAAGACACAAAAGGACAAATATTACATGATCCCACTTATATGAAATAACTAAAATAGGCAAAGGCATAGAGATAAAGTTTATTGGTGGTTATTAGAGGCTGGGGAGGGAGATAAGAGAAGGGGGAGTTATTATTTAAGGGTACTGAGTTTCTGTTAGGGTGATGAAAAACTTTTGGAAATAGATAGTGGTGATGGTTGTATAACATGGTGAATGTAACTGATGTCACTTAAGAATGGTTAAAATGGCAAAATTTTTGTTATATTATTTTACCACGATAAATTAAATAAAAAGCTCTGTAAGGGTATCTTTCTTTAAAGAAAAGCCAAAGGAATTTTCAAAGGAAAAATATTGCTTGGTTTAAATTACATCACACAAATGGAAATATTCAAGCTTCCTTTTAGGCACTATGTCCCAATGCCTTTTCAGACCACTGCTAACTACTCTAAGTGTTCATCTAGTACACAGTATGGTCCTGAAGCACAACAAAATCATGTTAGGCCTAAATTGAGTCTCATCATCAAAGCTTTTTTCCCATAATTTTTAAACTAGGTTTTACATTAGCTTTTAAAAAACATTTTATTGTACCTTCTCATGGAACCATCAATACATTGTAATAATCATCTTTACTTTCTAGTCAGAGGCAGAATAATGAGTGGATGAAGATCTCAGACTAAGATAGGGGCCTGGTAAACATGGGTCCAGCTAATAAACTCAATACAGCAATTTAAACAAACCAGCCGCATATTTAAGACTTTTCTACACTGTTTAGCTCAGACATAAAATATAATTTCCGAACAAAATCATTAACTGACACTGACCTGTATGAAAAGTGAAATGTAAAAGTTGCAGCTTTTACAAGGCATTTTAAATATGCATCACTCTGCAAAGCTCATTTCTTTAACCAGCATATGCATGAAGTTTCCTACATTATATTTAGCATTTAATTTCCATGTATTTGGCATGTAACAAGTTTCAGAAATGTTAGATTTTTTAATTTAAAAGAATTTCACTCCACCATTTTCTATACATACTAGTTACATTTTATATTGGCTGTGAAAACTGTTTTGGTGATGTATTTAATATTACCCTTTGCTAAAACAAAAATCTGTGCTAACAGATCAAGTTGCTAACAAGCACAATAAAATCATCTTTTAAAAAAATCAAAGCTTAACTGTAAAAACCAAAACAGCCCCCAAACTTACCAGCCCAGACTGCACATTTCTCTGCTGCCTACAGTCAGAGGGAGAGGGTGAAAGGCAGAGCTGGGGTCAGCAGCAGAACTGGCTGCTTGCGATGTGGAAGGGGGTGCGGTGGAAGAAGGTGGAGGAGGAAGAACAGCACCGTGGCTGCCCCTGGGCAGCATGGCAGGTACACAAGGTGGTTCAGGGGCTGAAGGGAGGACACCTGGAAACCAGCCGCAATGGGGACAAGACGGCATCACCCTGACAGTCTGTATAAAAGGGCTAACAGGGGAGGCTGGTAAGCACAGCCAGTATTCATCACCTGGCATTATGACAGAAACTCCTCCTTCAATACAAGGCACTGTGAGGGGAAAAACAATTTGGTAATAATAACCATGAAGGTCAAAGAATCAATATAAGCTTCAGATAACATTTGTCACTCCTTACTTGGTCTTAAAGAGCAAGAGGCTGATTTGCTGGTTTGACAGAGTTAAATACACGCAAGTAGAGGTTCTTCTGGAAAAATAACATACCACTATTTTTCATCTCAGCCTCATTTTATCGACTTAGCAGCACTGTATCTACTTAGCAGACAGTAACAGAATACAATCACTGGCTGTGGAACTGTAAATGAAAACCAGCCATTCTTGTAACCCTCCCCCACCAAAAGAAAGAAAATGTGTCATCATGCTGAAAAGCCACTCACTCCCTACCATCAATATTTATAATCTGTTCTTTAATGAAATTCTGTTATCAGACCTGGGTTCTTATGGTCCAAGCCTGAAGTCTAATTATATAAGCCAGTGCACAGATTGTACAAAGAAAGCACTGAGTATGTCTGAACATTTTTAACTCTGAAAGGTATACCCAATCAGTCAATTAAGACTACCACACATGGCACCAACAGACACAGGCAACTAAAGCATTCAGTTGACCCCCAAACCAACCATGTGTATGTTTTTATATTTAAACCCTATTTAATGAACTATGAAATCACTGTCATTCAGCTCCAGATAAGTGGTATCTCACCTAAAATATAAGTAAGAGAGTCACGCTAGAGAAGACAGCTCCCCTAGACAGTGTAAGAAGGATGCCCAAACATGGGGTAGGAAGCAGAGAAAAATGTCCCACTCTCCTCCAATTACAATGGCTGGACAAAGTGGCTGCCGACCATAGTGGTTGATGATATAGGGCAGAGTTCTCAAACTTTCTGGTCTCATAACCACTTTACAACTCTTAAATTATTTAGGACCCCAAACAGCTTTTGTTAACATGAATTTTATCTATTAATATTTACTGCATTAGAAATTAAGGAGCCCTGGTGGCACAGTGGTTAAAGCGCTTGGCTGCTAACCAAAACGTTGGCAGATCAAACTCACCAGCTGCTCCAAGGGACAAACATGTGGCAGTTTGCTTCCGTAAAGATTACAGCCTTGGAAACCCTATGGGGTAGGTCTACTCTGTCCTATAGGGTCTCTCTGAGTCGGAATCAACTCAACGGCAACTGGTTTGGTTTGGTGGGTGGCACAGTGGTTAAGCCTTCAGCTGCTAACTAAAAGGTTGGCAGTTCGAACCCACCAGCCGCTCCCTGGGAAAAAGATGTGGCAGTCTGCTTCCATAAAGATTACAGCCTTGGAAACCCTACAGGGCAGTTCTACCCTGTTCTATAAGGTTGCTATGAGTCAGAATTGACTCGACAGCAAAGGGTTTTATATTAGAAATTAAACGGTTAAGAAAAAACTTAAACTATCTGTTAATAAATTTAAAAATAATATACTCATTATGTGTTAACGTAAATGATTGTACAAAAATAATAAGTTTAAATTAATGAGAAGAGTAGCATGTTTTACATCTTTGCATTCTCTTTAATGACTGGCTTAATAAAACAGCTCATTATCTGTTTCCTCATCCCATCTGTTTCAACATCACCTGTTATGTAGAACCTGCACCTAATCCTTAGGAGACTCAATTTTCTAATCTTATAAAATGAAATTAATATACTCCTGGTACAGTGGCTGGTGAGAAAGAAGCTCGTTACTAATTTTCCCCTGCCTGCAAACTCCACTACAGACTCACAAGAAAATGAGAATGAAAAACGGAAACAGCATCTCAGCATCATTAAATTTAATTTTGACCTCAGAGACCCCCCTGAAAGGGTCTGGGGGCAGGGGGGTGGGCAAAGGAACTCAGACCACAGTTTGAGAACCACTGCTATGGGATGTAAGTGTAGACACACAACACCTCACCTGCAGGTATTTGCCTCTTTGTTCACCAGGCTTGCATACTGGATATCCTTCTTTTTCTCCTGTCTGTCTCTCACAGTGATGCCTTCCCCCACCCTCACCCCAGTAAAACATTGCTCCAGACTCCCCAAAAAGGGGACAATACCGAAAGCAATTCAAGTGTGACAGATCTCTTTAAAATTAGAATCAGCAGCCCTGATTCCCACCCCCAAATAGATTGATAGCCTTTGGCCACAGATTTGTACTGAGTTTTCCTACCGTTATACATGGGCTCTGGGAGTCCCTGGGTGGTGCAAATGGTTAAGTGCTCAACTACTAGCTGAAAGGCTGGCGGTTCAAACCCACCCAGAGGCACACTGGAAGAAAGGCCTGGCAATCTGCTTCCAAAAGGTCACAGCCTTGAAAACCCTGTGGAGCGCAGTTCTACTCTGCAACATATGGGGTTGCCATGAGTCAGAATCAACTTGACAACAGGTTATACATGGGCTCCAGAGTCAAACTGGCCTCGGTTAAAATACTTGCTCCACCACTTTCCAGATAAGGTGACTCGGGCTAATCACCTAATCCTTAGGAGACTCAGTTTTCTAATCCTATAAAATGAAGTTAATATACCCCTGCACAGTGGCTGTTAAGAAAGCAGCTCTTTAAGTTACTAATTCTCCCCTTCCAGAAGAAGACAAACTGGCTGGGGCTGAAGCAAGAAGCTTTGGAGTATGTTTTACAGATGTCTCCTGCTTCCCTGTACCACACCTACCCCACCTGAAATGCCCTCTTTCCGTCAAATCCTGACCCAGTAATACAGACTGGCACAATGGGGCATTATAGTATTTCTATTCGATGTACAGAGACACATTATCCTTTCTAAAGCATTCTCGAGTGGTTCTCTTATCAACACTCTAAGACCCCAAACACAAGGACCATTTGTTTCATTAAGTCTTCTTTAAATTTCCAAACATTCTTTTCTTTTTTGCAGCTCCAATAGCACGTTATCAGGGCATTTAGCAGAGACCATATCCGTACCTGAAATGTCCTCTTTTTACACATCAGGCCTTTTATTGCCCTTCAAAATTTAGCTGGAAGCCTTACTGGACAGCACTTCCTCACCACTACTGAGTTGGATGTTTTTCCTCTGAGCACCCACTGTCCCATTAACTCTGTAAGGACAGAGGTCTTGTGTTTCATCTCTGCATTGCCAGTACCAACTTTGCACGTGTGTGACATTCAAAAGTATTTTTAGAATAAAAGACTTGGGTGCTAGCTCCAACTCTGATATGTACACCTAGATGCTGGGCTTCAGTTTTTACATTCATGAAAACAAACGCAGAAAACGCTTGGAAAAAGTACCAACATGTATAGCATAAGTTAGGAACTTGGCTTTAGTCCAAATCTGAACCTGACTTTGCCACTTAAATGTGATCTGGGGCAACTTGCTGAAATTCTCCTGCCTTGAGTTCCTTCTTTGCAAAAATAAAGGTGATAAAACATGTACTTCTTAGGGTTTGTCAGTGAATTAAGTGAGATAATTTGTGTAAAATGCTTAGTACAGTGCCTATCACACAGTATGAATTCAATACATTAACTACTATAGTAAGAACTATAGTAATATCATTGTATCTCAGAAGACCAATTACCAGCTGCCACTGAGTCAACTATGACTCATGGCAACTCCATGTGTGTCAGAGTAGACCCGTGCTCCATAGGGTTCTTAATGGCCAATTTTTCCAAAGTAGATCACAAGCCTTTCTTCCAAGACGGTGGATTCGAACATCCAACCCTTTGGTTAGCAGCCCAGCACGTTAACCTTTACGGTGAGTAGTTGACAGTGTAGGTTTCAGATAGCAAAAGGAGCTGAACAAATATAGATAAGATTTACAGCTACTGCTATAGGAGAATTCATATTCCCCATATTCCAAATGTGCCAAATTGCTTGAATTTCATGCTTTACACCTTATGTGCAAATAAACAGCCTATTTACCTAATGCCATGCAAGCTCACATCTGGGCTATTAAAAAAACAAAAGGAAAAAACAACAAAACCCAGCAGTGATTATATAAACTACAGCAAGTCAAACTGCTTGTTTCCTTTGAAATCTGACTATGTTGCTGACTTACGATGCAGCATCCATTGGAGTTGTTGTACCTCCACCCGATCTTGCTTTGGAGGATTATGGACCAGGAAAGCAATAAAGCTAACTGATGATTTAAATGCTACCAGGCTTTCTGGAACAGACTATGCCCTGGGCCTATGACAGGGGCTAGCAAACTACAGCATGTGGGACAAACCCATCAGGGCTGTTTTGTTGTTGTTGTTTTACAGCCCCTGAGCTAAGTAATGATTCTTACATTCTTAAATGGTTGGGAGGTAGGAGGATGGAAATACCAAAATATTATTATTTCATGATGTGGGAGAATTACAGTATCCATAAATAATTTTATTGAACAGTCACACTCATTCACTACCATAATGCTGTGGCAGTTAAATAGCTCCACCAGAGACCATACGGCCCACCCACAAAGCCTAAAATATTTACTTTTCACAGAAAAAAAAAATTGCCAAACCCGGCCTAAGCAAATACTGAATCGATGGTAATGGGTGATACTACATGAAAAATACCAGATAGTAATACTGAGGTATTACTGCAAATCAAAGAATCATCTTCCTGAACTGCTCGTGGAAATAGAGATGCTACTTTATCTTTCTTCAAGGAACATTATGGAAGGTGATTACCACCATGATGAATTACCTACGTCTTCAACCAGTGTATGTGCCTAAAATATCTAGAGCCAAAGTAGTATTTTAACATTTACTCTGTAGCAAGTATTCTAGTAAATGACTTATGACAAATTTCATTTCAAAAGCCTCCTTCCTTGGAAGGCACTTCCCTTACACCATCCTTTCTGAGGTAGCTCCTCCCCACTATCCAATCAGTTTTTCTTCAGAACCATCATCATTAATGGGAATATTGTTGTCTCCCCCTCCATGGCAGGCTGAATAATGCCCCTAAAGATGTTAAAATCCAAAATCCCCAGAAACTGTGAATGTTACTTTACATAGTAAAAGGGACTTGGCAGATGTAATTAAGGATCTTGAGATGGGAAGATTATTTTGGATTATCCTAGTGGGCCCAATGTAATCACAAGTGCACTTACCAGAAGGGAATCAGAGGGGAGATTTGATTTTAACAGTAGGAGATGGACAGAAGCAAGAGCTGCAGTGGTGTGAGAAATGGGTCACAAGCCAAGGAATGCAGGCAGTCTACAGAAACTGAAAAGAGAAGGAAACTAATCCCCCCTCACCCCCCAGCCTCCAGAAGGAACCAGTCCTGCTGACACCTTGATTTTAGCCCAGTGAGACAGCCCTTGGACTTCTGACCTCCAACTGTAACATAATAAACTGTTGTTTTAAGCCACTACATTTGTGGTAATTTGTTACAACTGCAATAGGAAACTAGTTTTTGTTGTTAGCTGCCATATAGCCTCTAAAATAGAAATTCCATGAGAAATAGGCAACTTTCTGTCCACCACATTATCCCTAGTGTCTAGAGCAGTGCCTTGCACAGTGGGGACTCAAATACTTGCTGAGTAAACTAATGAAGTGCCAATACCGATCACTTCATAATGGATTCCCCAGGACAAATGCAAGGATAAGAGCATAAGGAACCCACATCTAGATTCATTACAGAGATGTCACCAGAGGTGACATCATTAAATTTGTTGATCCTGATCTACAGGGTGGAGCACCAACATGAGTGACCACAACAAGCCAGATTCAGTGCTGGATGTTTTATTTAATTTAACCCATTTAATCTTCTCAGCAAAGTCTTCCAAATAGATGTCATTCCCATTTCACATACAAGACAATATAAAAACTTGCCCATGAGCCAAGAATGGAATCCAAAGTCTGTACTATTACAAATTTCTTGCTTTTTTCACTATACTACACCCATTAATTCACATTTAAAGTCCCATAAATTTTCTAAATGAATTTCTAATTTCTTACTACAAACTTGAAATAGGTATTATTCACACAATGAAGTTCTAGTTTTAAAGAAATCCTATAATACTAAAGTTAATTTTATTAAACCTGCAAATTTTAAATCACTCTCTATAGTGCAAAACCAACAGATTTGTAGTTTGGCTCACACCTAATCTCTACAACCAAACTTGTATCTCTCCACTGCTCAATTCTCCTTTTTTCTTCAATGTAAGCAGTCACTTTAATTTCAAAGTGATGAGGCAAGTTATGTGTTGTGACCACCAGTACAAGTAAGTGGTCAACTTGATTTATATTTTAACAGCTATAAATTAAGGCCCCAAAAATTACCACCCCCAAAAATCTTCATTCTCCACTAATGCTTCTAGTCATCAGTAAGTGCCAAATATTCCTAGTAAAGAAACTAAGGCATTGAATAGGGCAATCTGGTAGCAATCAAGGAACTGAGGCAGGGTCTTTTTCTACCAGTAAGAACAGCTTTTCCTCCAACAGCAGGTCTCTGGAAAGCCCAAGAAACTTGGCTGGTAGACATGCTGAAGTGAGGATCAGTGCAGTCAAATGATGCTTCCACTGACTGCTAAATCAAAGGCGAGAGACTGGGAAGGATTAGCACTCCTTCACATGAGGAAAGGGAAGGAATGACTACTTCAGTAAATAACTGAAAGTTTTGTTTTTGCTAAAAATTCTCACTATTCCTGGTGAAGAAGCGTCCTCCACACACACATAAAATCCTTCCTCCTCAATCCTGGTGTCATTCTATTAGTCTGTGGATCTCCCTCACCTATACCACACTGGAATCAGCGTGATAGTTTTAGAGTTTATCACTCCTGCTACGCGTAACAGACACTTATCTACTTGCCAAATAATAGATGTTTAATGGCAAAATTCCATAACTACCAAAGACTGGGCTCCTACAGGGATTAGGAAAAGCTTATGGTATGCTCACTGAATCTTCAAAAATTGTTTTAACGACCCACACTTTCAACAGTGACCTCCAAACAAGGTTGCAATTTTTATTTTTAAAATGCAAGCAACAAAAAGAAATGTATACCAAATGAAGAACATTTGGATAAATTAATCAGTAATTTTCACTTAAACAGAGATTTAACCATACTGTCTCCCAGGCATTTAAAGACCTATTAAGATGCAGAATAAAATCGGGACAAATATTCAAAGCTGTTACAAGATGAACATCACTGATTCTGAATGACACTCTATGTACTAGCAGAAATTACAAATGCAAACTAGGAGGAGCCAGAGAAGAAAAAGTGGAAAAAATATTTAACCAAGTAGATACAGCCTATAACTGGACTTTAAAAGATCTTGTGTCAGCCTGTCCCATCTTCTCTAATTCCTACTCATCCTTCAGCACTTAGTTCATGCCCTACCTTCTGCGGTAAAGATACTCTTACGTTTGAGTCCAAGCACAGGTGAAACTGTTTAGAATCTGGGCACCACTCATAGATATACCAAATACTTTCTGTAATGAAGCATATGATCTTTTTTTTTTTTTACAGTCCTAACACTGCATATTCACTGTCCTGCAATGTCTGGGCTAACAATTTTTCTAACCCATTCTTCCCCCAACCTGGTTAGAAGCCCCTATGTCCTCTTAGGTCCCAGTGAGAGGAAGCAATGCACATATCATGCAGCATCGTAAATGGATTTTACACTACCAAATGTTTTAATTTATGAAATTCAGAACTTATTTTTGTTAATATGATCTCAAAGAGCATTTGAAAATACTTTCCCATGAACACACTAGCGAATTTTCTTTAATAATGGATCACAACAACTTTATAAACTAAGAAAAATACATTAAATAAAACAATTTCTGATGTTCTTGAAAATAACTTTTTTTCACTTTACAAGAGACACAATATATGCATGTTTGAATTTTACTCTTCATTTTGAAACTCTAGAAAAACCACAAAATGCAGCCTATACTAAGGACAAAAATCTTTACTGTAAGTTTGTGATCATAGCCTCTGAAATTTCAAAAGTCGCCACAATATTTTTCCAGTCCTGTAAACTCAAAGATATAACTCCTTGTCTCCTGCCATGGGAACTGGAATCATATCCCTCATCCATTTGGTTATTATTAATTGGCTCTAATATTGGCAACCTGTCTTGGTCAAGACTTATTCTTGCAAAACCATCCCTTATGATGAAAGAAACATAAAATATATTCTCCACAGTGCGAGAAAAAGAGTGTGGATCAACCACAAACTCAAAATAGGACACAGGAGAATCAGGATACTTTCTAAAGTAGGTTTGCAACAATCCCAAGATTCTCTCTACTTCTTTTTCTGTTGCTTCCTGATTACCATTCAGGTCCATCTTCCTCAACTTTGTAGGCATATCGCCATTTTCTTCCATGCTGCAAACTCTTTTCCGTTGTCGTGGCTTTGGTGCAGAAGGCTCTGACTTGAATGACCCAAAAATAAAGTGGAACGTTTCAGCTCGCAATGTCCAGGATGTTGCTTCCTTCTGTACCTTCTCCCAGAAGGAAAGAGCTATGCTATCATCAAAATCACCTAACTCATCACGTTCCTCTTCCAGCCAATTTAGACCCACAAATATACACAGATAGTCACGAAACGCTCCTTGATTAAAAAAGCTCATATCACAGTTTAACTGCTTTGCTTTTTCTTTACCCAAATCAGAAGCCAAAACAAGAAACTGGGCATCGAGGGCTGCTTCTCTTGTTCGGCTCACTTCATCAAACAAGACATTAGCTTCTTCAAGCGCTTCGGTTAACGACTCACTCGCCGTATTCACTATGTCATCACGTTGCTGCTGGACATTATACATGAGCTGCCGGTACTGTTTGCGGATACTGCGACATTTCTCTTCGTCAGCCACAAGCCGTAGGAGGACTGGATCTATGCGTACCTCCCCAAAGCTGAAGCGGTTAGAGCAGCCATCAGCCCCCACCGCCACCACCACATTCATCGAGTCTTGCTCCTCCGCACGTTTCAGGGGGTACTCACTGCCGGTGATGGGCAGGACTGGCTCCTCTTTTTTTTCATCGCCTCCCCTCAGGGAATCTTTTTCATTAGACATGTCAGCAACTGATGGCGCTCAGCTAACGGCTTTTATGTTTCCGACGACGGCGACGGAAACCAGCTGACCGTTCAACCCGAAATGTATGACTGCCCATGCGCACTAGCTACCGACTCCGCTCGACCCTGCCCTCCCCGGTTGGCGCAGGTGGTGACGTCACTAGCCACCCGCTCCGCTCCGCCCCACCCCAACCCGTACACACGCGCAGAACCTTGGTGGCTTTCGCCAGAAGGCCCACAGCCTCTGCACCGAACACGACGCAATTATCGGGACCAGCCACACTTTGCAGTCGGCGGGGGTGGGGGGGAACATTGCCGGCAAGTCGATTCCAACTCATAGCGACCCCATTGGATAGAACAGAACTGCCCCATAGGGTTTCTAAGGAGCAACTGGTGGATTCGAACTGCTGACCCTTTGATTAGCAGCCATAGCTCCTAACCACTGCATCACCAGGGCTCCACCCGCTCAAAGGACGACTTGTATTTCAGCGTTTACTCATAGTGTAACAACTTTTAAAGAAACACGTTTGGACATTCTTATGACAAAATTTTGGGGGGACTGATAGTCCGCGCTTTGAAACAGTCGCTGCGATACACTGCAGTTAGGCTGACCTACGTTTTTCTTAATTACTATGATTAAAAGTTGCCTTTTTTAAAGAACGAGACTAAAAGATTATAAACTACTTGTGAGGTCAAGGACCATGAACAGGCCAACACTCAGGGTTCATTTGCAAAGGGGTTGTTTGGAACTTGGTAAAGATACCATACAGATGTAAACAGTGTTAATTATCTTCGAAGGCCCTCAAAAGCCAAAACCCCCTGCAACCCTACCCATAATGAAGCTCTAAGGAGGGGAGATAGGGGCTACTGTCCACCCGGGTCAGTGCGCAGGGGGAGGGGGGAGGAGGCCACGTCGTTACTCAAGTAATCTTTGGTTCTCCACCACCCAAAAGTAAAAGAGTAGCATAGGTGGAGTCCTCTGCTAAACAGCTGTTTGTTTTTTTTTTTTTTTTGGAAGTTTGCTAAAGGCTACCCATTCTAAATGGGCAGTAAGCATGTACCCTAAAAGGTAAGCAAAGAGCCTGCTTGTACAATGGTTATAGCGCCGAGCTGCTAACCCCAAAGAAAGGTCGGCGGTTGCCACTCAGCCAGTGAAAAGACCTGGCAATCTGCTGCCATAAAGATTAAACCAAAAAACCCACTGCCATGGAGTCCATTCCGACTCATCCAAAAAACCCACTGCCGAGTCCATTCTGACTTAGAGCGACCCTACAGGGCAGAGTAGAACTGCCCCGTAGGGTTAAGGAAGCAGACTGCCGAATCTTTCTCCCGTGGAGCAGCTGCTAGGTTCGAATCACCGACCTTTTGGTTAAAAGCCAAGCACTTCAACCAATGCACCACCAGGACTCCCTGCCATACAGATTACAGCCTAGGAAACCCTATGGGGCAGTTCTACTCCGTCATATAGGGTCGCTGTGAGTTGAAATTAACTCCACGGCACACAATAACAACAAAAGGTGAGCAAAGCTATGAGAATTTTAAGCACAATCTGTTCTAAGGGCATGAAAGCAAACAGTGTAAATCTGTAACTAATATACATGGAAAATTCACTCAGTAGTTCAGTGGAGTCACTGGAAATTCACATACATAACACTGGGAAGAAATTCATTTTGGTTTTAAGAAGAACACACACAACTCAACTTGTCCTTCCAAAAACAAAACAAAATGTGAACCACACTGCACCAGTTAATAGCTGGCTTCACAGGACCAGGAAGTAAATTAGCTTCTAGACTGGTTGGTTCCTTTTCCTTTGGTATTAGCATAAAGTTTCTTGCCAAGGCACGAACAGCACAACCTAGTATTGGATTAATCCAAAACCCTTCTGGTACCACTATTTGTCCAAAATTATTTTTTAAGTAGGGGTGATTCAGGAAGAAACATAAGCGTTTGTCAAAAACACTGTGTATGTGTGTGTGTGTCCCTCCCCTATTAGACAGTTAGCTTCTCAAAAGCAAGTACTTAGTTTTAAATCTTCCAAGCATAGCTGTTTTCACATGGAAGCACTCAAGTACGCACTGAATAAATAAATGAATGTTGATTAAAAACTCTGTTCCAGTATCTATTAGAAGTTATATGGGACCAAAATTAAGTTCACAGATTAGCGGAAGGTAATAGATCCTACACCCAGGAAGTTAAATTAGACTGCTTTTCAGAAAAAAGTCAGCCTACCCTACTCTGAAATAAAGGAAAAACCAAAGAAAAACAAAGTTGGGACCCATGATCATTAAATCCTTAAAGAGACATATTTTCCCAAGTCTGGCAAATTACAAAATAATGTTTACACCTGTTTTAAATATTAGGTAAAAACATATAGTTAAGAATTCCAAGACCCTCAAACTAAAAAGAAATTTGTTCTTGGTTGACCATATTCTTGGGAGTTGAGAGTTCCATGCTACTGGTATGCACTTTAAATTCAATAAAAGTAGTCTATATTAAAAAACAAACAAACAAACAAACAAACAAAAAAAAAAACTCCAAAAGTCAGTCAACCTCCTGCCGGAGGTGTTCTATTTTCTCCTCGCTTAGAGGACGGAAAACAGGCTGACACCAATGTGCTCCATACAGAGCCTTTCATTTCAGAATTTCCAAACGCTTTAGAAAAATTAAATTCTCCCAACTGACTTAGAAAGTATGAGTAATACCATTTACAGGGATTTCCCAGGAGATAACAGCCCACACAATTTGCTCGAAGCCATAGAACACATCAAGGCAAGCATCTTGATTATGCTGTGAATTCCAGGGCAGAATTCATTCCATGCTAGGTCCCTGACACCAAGAACCTTAGTAATTTGCAACTTAGATCAACCTCAGAAAGTACTACTTGTATTATATTCTTTCTTGCTTATCTGCCTTTAGACCACAGGGTTTTAAATGTTGCTACAAGGTAGAACAATCTCAAATCTAATGATTTTCCTCTAGTCATTTAAAGAATGGGATTTCTGTGCTTATGAATCCGTAAATCACTGAACAGCTCAATCTTCTCTACAATACCTGTGCCATTTTTATTTCTTTGGTAGTTTGCCTATTTGCTAAGTTTATAAGTAAACAGCAAGCTATCTACCTACCGCACAAAATAAGACATTAGCTAAATAGAATGTTAACTTTAGATGCAAACTTTAAGGACTCACACACATTGCCATACCTAGCATAAACTGTGCTCTTTTCCCACGTTCTCGTCTAGTCTTTATTCATGTCATCACTTTTTGGTATACATGTCTTAACGTCTACCACCCATACTCACAGAGTAGATTTTTACATTGGGCCTTTTTTTTTTTTTTAATAAACATTCTGCCTTTTTCCAACTATCAGATATAAAGGTAATTTGTTTTATCATGAAAGTGAATAACTCTGCATTTGCAACGAAGTAAAAATACTCATACGTGTAAACAAGGACACTACCGCATGTCTCTTGTACTGTGGTGGCTTGTGTGTTGCTGTGCTGCTGGAAGCTTTGCCACTGGGGTATTTCAAATACCAGAAGAGTCACCCTTGGTGGACAGGTTTCAGCAGAGCTTCCAGACTAAGAAAGACTAGGAAGAAGGACCTGGCAGGATACTTCTGAAAAAACTGGCCAGTGAAAACCTTACGAACAGCAGGGAAACACTGCCAAAAGATGAGCCTCTCGGGTTAAAAGACACTGAAAATTTGACGGGGGGAAGAGCTGTCTCCTCAAGGTAGAGTCGACCTTAATGGCGCAGATGGAGTCAAGCTTTTTGGATCTTCATATGCTGTTGTGGCATGACTCAAAAATGAGAAGAAACAGCTGCAAACATTCATTAGTAATCGGAAAGTGGAACGTACGAAGTATGAATCTAGGAAGGCTGGAAGCTGTCAAAAATGAAATGGAATGTCTTAAAGTACAACAAGAAAATAAAAATTAAAAAAAAATGAAATGGAACGTATAAAATCAATATCCTAGGCATTAGTGAGCTGAATGGACTGGTATTGGCCATTTTGAATCAGACAATCATATGGTATACCATACAGGAATGACAAATTGAAGAGGAATGGTGTTGTGTTCATCATCAAAAAAAAAAACATTTCCAGATCTATACTGAACTACAATGTTATAAGTAATAGGATAATATCTATACACCTATTAGGAAGACATGTTAATACGACTATAATTCAAATTTATGCACCAACCACTAAGGTCAAACATGAAGAAACTGAAGATTTTTGCCACTTCTACAGTCTGCAAATGATCGAACATGAAATTGATGTATTGATAATTACTGGCGACTGGAATGCAAAAGTTGGAAACAAAGAAGAAGGACTGGTAGTTGAAAAATATGGTCTCAGTGATAGATATGACACCAGAGATTGCATGATAGAATTTTACAAGACCAACGACTTCTTCACTGCAAATACCATTTTTCAATAACATAAATGGTGACTATACACGTAGACCTTGCCAGATGAATACACAGAAATCAAATCGACTACATCTGTGGAAAGAGACAATGGAAAAGCTCAATATCATCAATCAGAACAAGGCCAAGGGCCGACTGTGGAACAGACCATCAATTGTTCATGTGCAATTTCAAGTTGAAGTTGAATTTAGAGACCATCTCAAGAATAGATTTCATGCATTGAACACTAATGACCAAAGGCCAAACGATATGTAGGATGACATAAAGGACATTATACATGAAGAAAGCAATAGGTCATTGAAAAGAAAGAAAAGACCAAAATGAATGTCAGAAGAGACTCTGAAACTTGATCTTGAAAGTCCAGTAGCTAAAATAAAAAGAAGAAATGATGAAGTAGAAGAGCTGAACAGAAGATTTCAAAGGGTGGCTCGAGAACACAAAGCAAAGTATTATGATAAAATGTGCAAAGAACTGGAGTTAGAAAACCAAAAGGGAAGAACAACATGCTCAGCATTTCTCAACCTGAAAGAACTGAAGAAAACATTCAAGCCTCAAGTTGCAGAAGTGAAGGATTCTACTGGAAAAATACTAAACAACCCAGGAAGCATCAAAAGAAGATGGAAGAAATACAGACAGTCAGGGCGGGGCCAA